CCAGGACAAAACAAACAGAGCTCTGAGAAAAGAATCTGCCCTCTTTGCCACTACCCCTGTTTAGAGATATAAACTGTGTCCCAATTCAGGGCTCGCATCCTTTAAAGGACGCGGTCTACGAAGGCGTGTCCTTTTAAGGCTGCTTAGACCCATGAAGGCTGAACCAAAATGAGACAGTTTACTCTACGGTGGATTTTCTGTTTGAGTCACAGCATCGCTGTGAAATGCCACTCCTGTCAAGTTCTTTTAAAGTTCTTTAAAGATGGAGCCAGAAACTTTGATTTTAGTTTAATTTTTCTCCTTTATTAGAGCTGAAGATGCTTCACTGCCGGCCCCTGCACATTGGTGTTAGTTTTGCTTCAGACCACATTGGCTTTTTTATCAAAAGGATTTCCTTCGGACGAGATTACTAAACACCATTTTGCAGGAATTACTCTAATTAAAAGAAATAATTTTTATGATGCAACATTAAGAATACCAAAACATACCAGATACAGAAGCTTGCCAACTGTAGGTGAAGCAGCTAAACAATGAGGTTTCCCTGAATTTGTATTTGAGCATCTATTTTTCTCCTAATGGACAGCATAACATCAAAAGTTAATTTTCATGGACCCCCCCCAGAATTTTGATTCTGAGACATTCAGGGGGTCTAAAAGGTTAATTAGGGGGTCCTGAACCCTAAGAATTCAGAGTGTTCTCCTCCCTCCTACATTCTCTTCTCACACATTTGACAACAGGAATATTTTTCTACAAGAATTTGTCATAAAAGTTACATTACTGAGTTACTATTAGCACATGTTTGTATATATAAAAGGTAGAAATCTCTTAATATCTAAAGCTTAATCTGTAGATCAAGGTGGGAAAGGATTATGGACCCAGGTATGTCTTGATGAGATGCAAGTAGATTCACTGATAAGCTTGTTGGAAATATTAATCACAATTTGGTATATTATCCAATTATTGTTACACATTTGTAGAATAACACTTAAAATGTGGGAGTTTAGTAGCAAATGGTGTCCAATTAGTGATTAGTTTGATGACAATAATAGATAATGACCAAAATGTGTGCCTCAGAATAAGAACTGATTGTTGAATTGAATGCTGTAATAAATGACTAAGAAATGGGGAATAATCATTTGAAGCATTCATTCTTAATTATATGAATGGCTCATTATTTATTATTTGGTGAGTCCACTTATCAATTTGTAGCTCCAAATATGGGCAGCAATCAGGAGACTGTCAGCATACAAAAGTAACACAAACAGTAGAAACTGTAATAGTCACTGAAAGCAACTGAATACCAAATGCCTTATTCTTTTTTTTTTCTTTTTCTTTCTTTCCTGTTATTTCCAATTAGTCCGTTATTACACTAACAGGACAAACTGAAAGAAACCATTGACTAAAACTTTTCCTACCACACAAATGTGCTTTATCATGATTTATGAATCACAATGTTAATATTTAAACTTTGGGCAAATCAACTATGCACCTACATACACACACACACACACACACACACACACACACCCTTCTTGGACATAAAATAAATTTGCCATTCTGCATGCATCACATTAAAAGCTGCGCTATGTAACAAGCTAAAACATGGTTTGCGTGCGCTGCTGTGAGTCAGACATGTCAGGTCAGATTTTGCAGGAGTTTTTCTGACCATACCTGTGCAAAATAATAGAACACACACAGGCTCAAAAAGAAGGTCCAGCTCAGTGTTAAGGTTTCAAATGCAAAATCAACATTATACTGCTAAGAACATGATGACGATAGTAGATAATTCACTTTACTTTAAATACTTCGAATACTCTTTCAATGCGCTCACACTTATGAGATTCATCTGCTCGGGGAAGGGGCCTGAAGCACTACAGATGCACTTACAGATTCAATTGCACATTTCCACCAGAGAGGTCTTCATATCCCCAAATCTTACATAGTGCAGCTTTGAAGATGCCAGGAATACTTTGCAAAAAATTAGCCTTTTGAAGCAAACAAGAGGCACTGATTGAAAACGGTTGCAGGGAGTATTCTGTAAACTGTCCTCCACCCCCTTCTAACCCACACTTTTACCTTCATCTCCACCTTTTAACCTACACTTTTACTGAACAGGGGTCACAACATTATCCTGCTTTCTGGAATCTCAGAACTGGAGTGCCAAGATAATGGATAAATTAAACAGCACATTAGAGAAACCTGCTGTGTAGTGAGCATTAGACCTTAAAACCTTGTAATACAGTGGTTAGTGTCCTTCATCTGGACCATTAATTTTAACGCTTTGTGAACAGTCTCGAGAATAAAAGTCTGGCGTAACATACATAAAAATCAACTTAATGTCTAGTGAGTCCTTCTCTTCTGCCAAGTAATTCCTTTCTTGGGGCTGCAGCTTACTGCTGACGAATAAAAGGTCGATTCCAGCCCACCTCCCCTTGTATCAGCCAGCCCCCAGGCCCTCTTCTGAGGCATCCGTCTGAAGCACAAATGCTGCTTTAAAATCTGGACTCGCCAGCTGATACAACTGGTTTTATACCTGCGTTGAATAAATTTAGAGTGTATTCAGCTTATATGGTAAACCAGTATAACATGTTACCTGTATCACAGCAACCTCAGACTGCCCCAGAGGCTCCCATTATCTCTGCAAAGCTAGCTTTATTTCATAATCATTTATGGCTGATGACGTTAAAATATCTTACAATTTGTTTTGCTGTTTCCTGAGACGTGGTTGCAAAAGGCAGCAGTACTGCTGTTCTCAATGAGACAGCGTCTGCAAACTTCAGTGTCATGCATACATGCCAAACCGGTAGGAAAGAATTAAGAGTAGCTGCTTTGTTTAAAGATGCATTTCAGTGCAAAGAGATTGCAATTGGTAACTTTATTTCTTTTGAATATCTCTGTTTCGTATTGATGGGTGCTCCCAGAATTTTATTTTTAATCCTTTACAGAGGATACTCCGTATATTTTATTGATGACTTTGCTGAACTTCTGTCAGTTCCACTGAATACAACTTTTTTATAGTAACCGCAAACTTTAACATCCACCTAGATAATAATATGGAAAATAATGCCATTGTTTTTACAATTTTGCCTTACTTTGTCTTACTTGACACTTTTGGTCTCTCGCAGTGTGTGTAAGAGCCTATGCACACTCAGGGCCACACTCTGGATCTTATTTCAAAAGGTCTGAACATTTTTGCTGTTATAGTTAATGATTTGTTCTGGTGTTATTAGATCTTAGTGCTGCATTTGACACTATAGATCAGTGGTCTCCATCCCTGGTCCTGAGATCTACGTTCCTACAGAACCTAGTTGCAGTTCTAGAGTTAACCAAGTGGTGGGGGAGCTCATTGGATATAAGAATTAAACTCTGCAGAAAGGTAGCTTTCCAGAAGCAGGGTTGGTGACGATAGCTGTAGACACAATGCTTCTGGACAGGTTGGAAAAAGTGCTGTTCTCATGTAGCACTATACACAACCACCTTGCCACAAATGCCTTACACCCCACCAGCTCCTAGTCCATTAAGCATGGAAAGGTCGCAAGTAACCACTGGATGCCGAAAAAACATCACTGGATATTCACAAAGTCCAAAGGGAGTCATAAATGGTGTCAGGTCTTTGCTCAGTGGCACTTGGCAGTAACACTTACTGACCTGAGCAGAGCCAAGATGGTCCAACAGTTCCTCAATATAAGCCATAGGGTAACCATCAAGAGTGGAAGATGCTATTAAGGTGATGAAAGTCAAATAAAAAACACCCAGCATTGTTGTGTCTTGACACCAACAGTACACACTCCCTGACAGTGTGATGACTCCTATATGAAGCTTTGCATTTAGCCCCTCTTTGAGCACTAGGATCATTGTCAGGGACTCAGTGCTGGTTACATGTTGGTTTGTTCATAGTGTGGTGCCATGTTGAGCAACTGCCATGTGCCCTGGCTAATCTGTGAAAAGTCATGGCACCAGCTGTGGAACATGCACAAGTTCAATCAGTCGTTGTGGGGCCAAACAAGTCTGGGCAGTAACTGCTTCCCTGCCTCTCTAGGAAAACATTCCTTACTTGGCTCCGCCCCACCACCACCACTTGAACCACTGGCATTCAATTCTGTCATTCTGCTTACAAACTATAGAGAACACCAACTGCTTATATGGTTTATGGACACAGAACAACTAATTAATCTCCAAAATACCCTTGTACTACTCCTGTTAAAATCAACTTGGTTTGTTAATATTTTGTTAAATTTATGTTTTCTTAATATTATTAATATTTCAAAAAAAAAAAAACATATATAGCTACCAGATAATCTCCTGCATTAGTATATATATTTACATCACCATTAACAAATCAAAGTTCAACTGCTGTATCTTCCTCCAGTGGAATCCACATGTCGGGTGTCGGCTAGAGTGGTGTAAGCACTGCAAATTCAACTTGGGGTTTTACTTTGCATCCTTTTTTTCTGGTTCTTTCAGTGTCCATGATGACTAACTTAATCAATCAGGCAATCACAGTCCAGTCTCTTACAATTTCTATGTAATACCATAAAAAAGTTATGCCACAAAATATAACTTGGAGACACTGTGATTGGCCTCATGGCATTTATTCTTAGCTACAACTAGATGATGATGATGTTTTCTAGCTAATGCTAAAGCTTTAGCCTGAGAGAAGAAACTGTTATATCTGCCTTTTCAATAGCACAGCAACTGGTGAATGTGTTGCTGTGTATCTGATCTTTGAGTAAGCGCCCTATGCCAGTTCTGGTGCAATTTAAGTTTTAACTTTTCTGCACTCAAGAGCTCAATGATTTCATACTTGATTAAACGGAGGTTTATTTTCAAATCAGAACATCAGGAAATGTAAGATAAGATGTGGCACAACCCTGACCACAACCCAAGGATTATGACTACAGCAAACATTCAAATGACTGGCTTTTCCACGTGTTCAAATGCCCGGTGGCACCACACAGAGTGACAGCAAAGTGCTGATTGGCTACTGTGAAGATGCCCAAGAGAATTTAAGCAGAAGGATCCATAAACACTTTGCACTTATTGCCTTGTTTCACATCCAGGTAAGCTTTGAAATAATGTGAATTTCTTGTTAAGGTATTAAAACATATTTTCAGTTTCTTTATTCAGGTACTGATGTTGTTCTTGAATGCTGCTTGGGGGGCAATGTGCAATAGGCATGTATCAGTGGACAGACAAATTTATTTATGTTTTTTGACTATGCAGGATGTTCAGACACTGCTGCTGTCTAGAATCATTTAAACTGGGTCATTGAAACTGATTTTAAGGGAAACAACATGCAAAAAGAACACTTTATGTGTATTAAGTCAAACATATCTAGCTTCTATCACTTGTATACTATTTTTTGTCAAAATCTAAAGTTACATTTTCTCCTGCAGACGTGGAAATGAGAGGGACACTGCTTTGCCTTGCAGCCCTGTTGCTCTGTGGTAAGCACCTTTTCCTTTTCCCACTACTGCATGTGTATTACAGACGTTTCTTGAATTTAGCCTGTATAACCCTTTCAAGTAAGTAAATTAGTGATTTATTACCATTACATAAGTGTGAGTTACAGTGAGTGATAGTGGCTCAGTGCATTAGGGGTTCATGTCTATTGATTTTGTACCACAAGCCTAACGATCCTATTTTATAATTTTAGAAAACTTTAGAAACTGATTGATTTAAATTCATTTATAAACTGTATGCTCCCACTTCAGTAAAGTCCATTGACCTTTACCTACCATAAAACAAACTGCAACGACTACTCCAGGTTAGATTAATCTTTTGCAAATTGCCATGTCTGTAAATATTATAATCAATGGAAAGTGTTTCTTAAGTATAGAGGTACTCAGAAGCATTTACTTGCATTCTATGTGGCTTAAATGTACCTCAGGTGTACAACTCCTAACATTTAATCATGTAAAATAACAGAAAAAAGGAATCTAAGAGACAACAACTGGTCATGCTCTCTCCGGGTGGGTTAAATTGTTCTTCCTCTCTCCCATCACTCAGCATGATGCTAGCCAGTGTGGGGGTCTCTTAGCTGATGTAACAGAATTGGCAGTTAGTGTTCTTCTCTAAGCGTGTTGCATTGACATTGCATTAATGAAAGCTCAAAAAGATACTTCACATGACTCAGAGGAAGCATGTACTAGCCTTTACCCTCCTAGTGGGAGAAAACTGGAGAGAAAATTGGGGAAAAATGTAAAAGTTGTGTGAGAGATGTTTCAAAGTTTAACCTCCACTAGTTTAAACTAGTATAGTTTAGTTCTTTAGGGAACTACAAAGTTTCTTCTATAGCAAATCTCAAAAAACCTTTTGTGGCACCTTTTTAAGAGTGTTAATTGTGTAAATCAATGGTGAAAATATGCTTAAAAATCTCTACTTAAGTATGAGGACTGTTGCTGTAGTTCAAATTTACTTGAGTACAAGTAATTTTTTTATTAAAGGAAATAACTCAAGTAAGACTAAATAAGTTGAAAAACTACTAAGTGAATTTGCTACATCATTAGAAATAATCTGGAAAAATAAAACTAAACACAATATTTCATGAGTAAAAAAGTCTCTGATGATGTATGATTTGTAAGGTGAGATCGAGTTTTTGGTTTCCAGTTAGAGTGTTTATGTTTTGAATGAGTGAAATAGTGGAGCTGCTTTGCTGTTTTTTTCTGTATTTCTTCTTTTCTTTTAAAGAAAAATGGCAGAAAATACTTGGTGGTATCTTAGGTCCAACATTTTAAATTTTAAATTTAATTGTAGTGATCGTGTTTTGACAGTGCTGCATCTCTCAATGCTTACAGAGTGGGTAGATAACATGATTTGTGCCTGAGGTTAGCTAAATTGATCTAGTGAATTATTTTGTCTTTTCTGAAGGTGTAGACAGTAAAGAGTTACGGAACTATAAAAGCCATACAATTTCCTGTTTAGCGACAAAATAAGAAATATTTTGTACAGTAAACACGGTGACTTCATTTTTTGAAAGCTGAAGTAGAGCGAAATCAGAGCGTCAGCCAAGGTAAACATTAGGCTTGAGTAATGCTGAGGGAAAGTGGAGTGGTGGAGACTGTGGGTTGCTCATGCATTGCAAAGTTGGGGAAGTCACGCAGCCACACAGCAGGTGTCTTGTGGAAGGTAGGGATAAGCTCAGATATATCTTATTTGCAATATAGCATATTTTTATGAGCAAACATGAAGCCTTTGGGGGATAGTTTTTAGTTTTAAAGCTGTAAGCTATGCCAGTCTTTGGCATGGAATGGAATGCTTAGGTGCAGGACACAGATAATGTTTATGAATCTGCTAGCTTTGGAAGCACATACTATTCCAACTTTTTGAGTAGTTGTGGCAGACACCGACAGCCAATGAGCTCATTTTTCAATAATACAGTCTGTAACAGAGCCAATTAAAATTTTCTCATTAAAAATTCTCTGATTAGCATTACTACAATTCGACTGGAATTTAGAAAACCAGCAAATATACATGGTGAGCCATCATGATAGCTCTCAGAAAAATTGTGAATTAGTCTAGATTTCCTGCATCACAGTCTTTTATGGCCCTTATTCAAAACTGCAACAAAACCGTTTTTTATACAGCTAAACCCTATGGGTGGACATCTACATAACTAAAGTAGGTAAATAAAAGGCATTTGCAATAAAGCCTGTGCATCAGCTTTCATGTTTAATAAATAGGCAGCATGTTTTTCTAAAACAATGTGAGAAGAAAATAGCACACAGTGCCTGTTTAGCTAAGATTAGATAGGAGCTAGCTGGTTGTAATGCTTCGTGGAGATTTTGACATGTTTCGGGAGGCATGTTTGGCAGCTGATAAGTATGCTGTTTTCTTCAGTTTTGAGTGGCTGGGAAATTCTCTGTGTTGATTGGCCTTTAAAACAGAATTTTCTAAGTTTTAACTTCTCTCTGTGCTGAAATGCACAATAATTAATTAACAGTTATTAAAATTTGTGATTATTAAATTATTAAAGTTGTGAAACAAAGGTACTTAAAGAAAAGTTCATTCAAGTACTATGATTAAAGTCTAACCAAAAATACCATGACAGGGAAAAATGTACTCAATTACAGTAATGAGAGTGCATTTTTACTTTTCACCTGTACATCACACAACACTGCCCAGACTGACATAAATTGACATGAACCACAAATCTGGAATGAGTATTACAGTCTAGAACCCATGTGTCAAACACAAGGCCCGCTGGCCAGATCAGGCCCACAGCACAATCCTATCCGGCCCACAAAAGTATTTTCATGTTTTATTAATATTAGCCTGTTTCATGATGCGCTGCACTACAGTCTCCAGTATGCATTGCAACGTAATGTGCACTCTGACTCTCATACCCCAAAAACAATTTATGGGAGAGCGGTTACACCTCGGGTCTACACAATTCTACACAATTCCACACCAGTCATATCACCAAACACACTAGCTGCGGGTTAACCAATTTAAGCCCTTGATGTTAGCTCAGCAGCTATTTTAAGTATTCATATAATATTTCAAGGTTCATTACAAGTGTCTGCTAAGGTTTTTGCGAATTTTGAATAAAAAATGGCCAGTTCGGGTTGTAACACAACATTAATTAAACATAAAATAAAAATTAAAAAACACTTTTTCTCTGGCTGACGGATTTGTTGAGATTTTTTAATATGGCCCCTTTAGTGTTTTTTATTATGTGTGAATAGGAATTTCTCTGATAAGTAATAATATAAATTATATATGAATAAATTCCAAAAATATCTTTTTAACACGTTAAACAAATTTGGTTACTTACTGTAAACTATTCCTTTTCAGGGCTGTCCTTCGCTGGGCCTGCCGGAAGACAGTTTGCTATATCCTTCATGCAGAATTACCTGGAAAAAAGACATGAGCCTAGGCGATTTGTGGTTGAGGTTTTTAATCCAGCTGCTAAATCGAGTGCCACCGTGAAAGTAACTGCCCTGGGAAAAGTTTACGAGAAAACTGTTCAGCCTGGGCAAGGAGAATCTTTCCAGCTGCCTGATGAGGTGGAGATGATTGGAAGTGCAAAAAACCAACAGACAGTACAGGTGGAGTCCGACCAAGACATTTTGGTGTCTTCTCTCAACTATAAGATCTTCTCAACAGGTCTTTCAGTGATCTACCCTGTCAACGAATGGGGCACTGAGTACTATGTTTTTACCCCAAAGAGTCCAAAGTCACGTAAAATAATCCCTAATGCCTACAAAGAGTTCTCCATCACTAACTACAAGGACAGCAATTCAGTTGAGATCGACTTGACCTCCGGAGTGAAATTCCAGGGACAAAATTACCCCAAAGGAAGCAAACTCATCATTGATTTACGGCCCTTTGAGAGTGTACAGATCCAAACTGAAGAAGATAATGAACAAAGACTATACAATCCCAGCATTGGAGACCTGACAGGCTCCAAAGTTACTGCTAAACACCCAGTGGCAGTCTTTACAGGCCACAGCTGCACCTGGTTGTTTGCTGGATGTGACCATGTTTACGAGCAACTAATTCCCGTCAGTAGCTGGGGGAAAGAATTCATTGTTGCACCCATCGCCTACCAAAAACCTGTGGGCAAATATGACAGCGTCTACGTTCAAGCCTCTCAGAACACTCTCGTCGAAGTTAACAGTCAGGATGGGACGACCTCACAAAAAGAATTGAAGACTGGAGAGACATACGAGATACATATAAAATGGCCAGATTATCTGCACATCACTGCGGATAAAGGGATTCAAGTGCTTTATGAGTTTAATGGAGGAATCACTGAAAAAGGAATTCTGAATGATCCGTTCTTGATGAACATCCTACCAATTGACCAATTCGACACCTCCTACACACTGGTCACACAAAGTGATTTTACAAACGAAGCAGTTGTAGTAACAAGCAGTAAAGACCTTGCTGGACTGAAACTAGGTAAATCTGTGACATCAACAGATCTTCAGTGGCGTAAAACTGCTGGAGGTGAATACGCATGGACCCAGATCACTTACGGTGACAGTTTAAGCTTCCAACAGTTAACACAAACAGACTCGTCATTTGCCTTCTACAGCTTTGGTGTGGCCCGAGTCAATGGTTATGGGACTTCAGCTTTTGGGCACGTAAGAGGTAAGACAAGATTTCAGTCAGTTTTGTTTTGCTCTGTTAATGCAGAGTTTTTCTAGACAATGTCACAAAGCAACTTTACCAAAGGCCTCTGAGATGTGTTGTCTAGATATGAATAAACAAGGCCTGCTGAGAAAATGGACGAATAACATTCTGTAATTATTAGAGGACAACGATGAATGTTCATCTCTTACTGGTGCTGCTTTTTTCAAATTCATTGATAAGTGCACAAAATTGTTCTTTTTATGGTAGCTTGAAATAAATGAGAAAGATTTTGGGTCTGAATTATTTAAAAAAACATCCCTTTTCCTGTTGATCATAGCTGACAGACTTTTTTAGACAGGGCGTTACATGATGCAGACCAGCCCACCCCAAACTTCTTAATTTCATACTCTTATTTTTTATTTGTATGCCACACTGAGATAAGGTGGCTGGATAGTGATAAAACAAAGCCCATAAGTACGTTTTTCATTCTTTCTTCTTGGTGCCACCTTGTTTTTTGCCATTCTTGCCACTACAGTCCATCTTTACTTGATTCGCATATGAAAACTGCTACATCTGCAGATAATGCAGAAAAGTAATGAAGTCTGTAGAGCTGCACTGCTTGTTGTGCCAGCCAGTACTAGATTTACACCACCACACTGACTTTAAGCTAATCTCTTAAGGCTGATGTTAGCTTATTATTTGAATTTCCGTTCACCTCAAAAAATAAATAATAATGACACTCAGTTGCAATCAGCAAACATGGGCTGTACCACCTGAGGTGAGGGCTGGTGATTAACCCCTAAACTACTACAGAGATACATTTGGATGTAACATTTACAGTTTATCTGAGCATTCTTCCTCTGGGAATTCTCCTGAATCTTGATTACCCACTCCAGCAGTGAGTGTTGCATTGGGGATAGGGATGTGTTAGAGTCTTCAAGAACGTGAAGAATGAGTTAAGGGATTACCTAACAGACTGCAGAAACAAATCATTTCTACTAATTTTAGTTACATAAAGAAAGTGATTCACAATTAGTATGGAAGAAACTAATATTATTAAAAATAACCATAACATTAGATATAAAAATAGAGATTTTAGCTGAATCTTTAAAACGACTTTTTTTTTTTTCTTGAATCCAGATCCAAGATGACACATGTCCAAGATATTTCATTTCAAAACAGAACATAGTCCAAAAGAGACATACATTTAGGTTGAATGAAATAAAAGATAATAACATGCAGTATTTTGCAGAGATAGTTTCACAGTGTTAATCTATGCCATGGTACTTAAGGTTACAGTCTGCTTTAGATACACAAAAACTGGCTTTCCAAAAGTCGACAGAGCTGTTCCCAAATTTCCGAAAACTTATATGGTTTCCTTTTAATTGCAAACTTTTTTTTTTCCATGGCCAAATAATGAGAGAGTATTCGACCAAGTACCAACTATTTGAGCTTCTAACTTTTTCCACTGACAGGAAATACTGTGTTTAGCATGAAGGAGACATATACTGACAGATTTTTCCTCTCCAGAAACTGTAACAACCACCACTACAACTACAACTACCACTACCACTACTACTACAACTACCACTCCCACTACTACTACAACTACCGCTACCCCTACAACTACCACTCCCACTACTCCTACCCCTACTACTACCACTACAACTACCACTACCACTCCCACTACTCCTACTCCTACCCCTACTACTACCACTACAACTACCACTACCACTCCCACTACTCCTACCCCTACTACTACCACTACAACTACCACTACCACTCCCACTACTCCTACTCCTACAACTACCACTACCACTACCACTACTACAGCTGTCTCTGGAGCAGTAGGCACCTGCTGGGTCATGGGCGACCCACACTACCGCACTTTTGACGGCACTTACTACAACTTCATGGGCAACTGCACCTACATTATGGCTAAGAACTGCCGACCCGACACTGACCACCCAGCTTTTGAAGTATGGACCAAGAACGAACGGACTGGGAGCACAAATTCCACCTCTGTGGAGATGGTTGTGATTACAGTCTATGGTATAACCGTCACCATTGTCCATCATCAAATTGGGCTCGTTATAGTAAGAGTTTATGCGTTTTTGCATTTAATGTCACAACGTTGTTTAATATGCCTCAAGTTATTAAAAATGTAAAATCAATCCACATCTGCTTGGAAACAACCAGTTAAATCGTCTCTTAAAATAAATTGTGTCTTATTTGTTTCAGATTAATGATTCACTTTGGAACCTTCCAATTTCCTTGGACAATAACAGAGTGAAGCTCTGGCAAAGTGGCCTCTCAGTTGTTATGGAGACAGACTTTGGTCTGTCAGTGCAGTATGATTGGGAGCAATATCTGGTGATAAAAGTACCAAGCAGCTTTATGGAAAGGATGTGTGGCATGTGTGGGAACTTCAATGGGAAGAAGAATGATGACCTCACTACTCCCACAGGCTCCCTGGCAGGCAGTATTCCAGCACTGGGAAAAAGCTGGAGGGTTCCAGGTTTAGCTGGGGATGCCTATTGCACTGATGATTGTACAGGGCAATGTGAGAGCTGTAAAGGAGAATCATGGTACGATCTTGTAAAAGCAAAGGTTTTCTGTGGCTTTATTGCGATTCTCTCTCATGGTCCACTCCGCGACTGCAATACACTTATTGATACCGATGTCTTGTATGAAAACTGCCTGCTGGACTACTGTATGGGAAAAGGATACAAGAATTTTCTCTGCAGCATGGCTCAGACTTATACAGACGCCTGTCAGCGTGCTGGCATAAAAGTGTACAACTGGAGAGAGCTCCTCCACTGTCGTAAGTTGTAACAACAATGCTATTATTTATCTTCTTAGTATATATTAGAAAATTATGCATTTAGGCATTATTTTTATTGGTGGTGTACAAAGTTAATGCATTAATGATGCATCAACACAATAAATGATCTAAAGACTCTTTGAGCCATCCTGCTCTCGTGCTGTTGCTATGATTCCACAACCATAGCCCTCTCATTCAGACTCAGTCCTTAAATAGCGAGTTCCACTGATGGTTCTCTTGACAAACCCAACATTATGTACAGCTACCACAGTGCTGTAAATTTGTTTATCGCCAAAGTACACAGCAAACAGTAGCACAAGCAAAAGTTCCCCTGGAAACAAGATGTATAATTGTGGAGGAACTATTGACTGTATATATTGTACATGGACATTATAATCTTTTTAACTAAAAATGAGATAGTAATAAGCTAAGTATCGCTGTTGTGATATTTTTGTGATAAGAAAACCTTGTATCTCCAAAATGGTAACTTTACAGCAGAAGGAAAAAACCTACTTTACTTTTTAAGTCAGGGGAACCAGATTTTTTTTCCAAGTCATTTTGGGCCGTTTCTTTAAGTCCATTCATTCTAAATTTATACGCAATGTAAAGGGCAACTGGCATTTTCAAATTATGTCAAAAACTGAAAAACAAGATATGAGGTTTTCTTCTGACAGCAGCGATATATAGGGTACTATTTTTTTTTACCAATCTTGTTTTTAAAAGCTCTTTTTGATTTCTTTTAAAGCGAAGTTGAAACATTTAGATTCATTATGAGTTTAATTTTTGAATAAAAAAAATTGCTGTCCCGAATTTTCATGTCACTACCGAAACACAAGTTTTAGTCCATAGGTGGAGCCTAATTTTAGCCACACCCCTGCATTTTAGACCAGGAGGTGAGACAGATTCCTTTTCCTCTCGGCCACATGGAGAAGTTAGATTCCTGTTGATTTGAAGTAAATTGTCATTACTGAACTTTATGTTTTAATGAAAAATGTGATGGTTTTATGTGTGTGCAATGACTCAAAGTTGTGTTTACTTGTACAGGCTAGAGTTTTTGTGCTATGCTCAAAATTAGCTAAATATTCGCTACTCAAACAGTCACTACCGGAAGATTTGGCAACATTTTTTTAGTGTTATGATTGTTTTGGTAGAGAGAATATTATTTTAATTAATGATGCTTCTTTTAATAAAATAAGTGTAATTAAGGCACTGGATCATTCAAAGCAAAATAATTCAAATTAAAATCCCGGTCAGTTAAAAGTCTGCAGTGTGTTTTGAGCTCTGACTTTGAACTATTTTGATAGAATCTATATATAGATATACACTATATATGCTGCCTCTATTGCTTTTACTGGACATCAGTGATGACAGCTGGAAACTGTGGTCAAACTATGGAAATCTCATGATTTTCATATTCAGTTTCATGTAAAGCTTTTTTTGAAGAAGAGCAAAAAAATAATAAACTCTTCTGAAGCTTTGTCCACTCATAAAGCTATAACAAAATGTCCTGGTTTAAATGGGTCAGATTTAAGCAAATACAGTAAATTGATTAATCACAATGAACTGCATAAAATAATCTGGTACATCATGAATAATTATTTTTACTTATATATATTAGACACAACTATTATGTGCATGGGATACAACGTATTAATTAGTGGCGTTATTCTTACATTGTTTTGTCTCCACACAGCAAACCCACAGTGTACTGCAAACAGCCACTTTGAATCCTGTGGAAGTCCTTGTCCTGCCACCTGTGAGAACCCTACAGCACCTGCAACATGCAAAGCTGACTACTGCGTACAAGCCTGTTCATGTAATGAGGGATATATCCGAAGTGGTAACACGTGTGTCCCTAAGTCTCAGTGTGGCTGTGTGTACAGCGCTGGTGGAGAGAAACGCTATCTAGAGGCAAACGAGACCTTTTGGGCAGATGATACATGCCAAAAGCTGTGCACTTGTAATCCACTCACCAAAAGCGTAGAATGTAAAGCAACCAGCTGTCCATCTGGGCAAGTGTGCCAAGTTGTCAAGAACATTAGAAACTGCTATCCAGTATCCAAGGCGACCTGCAGAATCCATGGCGACCCTCACTACAACACATTTGACAACACCACTTATGACTTCCAGGGTACCTGCACCTACACTGCTGCTCAAGGTTGCCATCTAGAGGGAACACAACTCACTCCGTTTAAAGTTATAGTGGAGAATCAGAAATGGGATGAGATCCAAATGAGTCCAAACGTATCTATGGCTAAGGTGGTCATTGTGGAGGTTTATGGTATGATTTTAGTGCTGCGAAGGAATCAGCTACATCAGATAATGGTTAGTACAACCTGCTAAAGGTTTGTACTGTTCTAACAAGGTGCACTATGTTAGATATTTCAATAGATATTGTATTTGAAGCAGTTTATAATATCACCCATCACTCTTTCAGATTAATGGTGTCTTGACCAACATTCCTGTGAGTCTGGATGATGGAAAAGTGACGGTCCAACAGGAGGGCTATCAAAATGTAATCACTACAGACTTTGGCCTGAGAGTCGCCTACGATATGGTTTATCATGTTAGCATCACAGTCCCCAGCAGCTACCACGGGAAGACCTGTGGACTGTGTGGAAACTACAATGGTGACAAAAATGATGATTTCTTGCTGCCTGATGGTAAAGAAACCAAAGACATTAAAACATTTGGAGCTGCGTGGAAGGTGGCTGTTCCCGGTGTTGTGTGTGATGATGGCTGTTCTGGAGACTTCTGTCCAAAATGTCCTGCAGACAAGAAAGCTGTCTTTGAAAAGGACTGCAGCATCATTACCAACCCTGAAGGTCCATTTGCTGCCTGTCACAGTGTAATAAACCCTGAGTCCTACTTCAGAGATTGTGTCTACGATGTCTGTATGGGCGATGGAGATCATCACATGCTCTGCCACAGCATTGCTGCTTACATGATTGACTGTCAGGACTTTGGAGTTACTGTTAAAAATTGGAGAACATCAACGTTTTGTCGTATGTATATGACATTTTGTAGAAACTGTTTAAATAGCATGTCTTGTTTTAATTCTTTAACATAAATTATTTATCTTTTTTTAGCGCTGAACTGCCCTGCCAACAGTCACTATGAAATCTGTGCTCAGTCATGTGACTCACCCTGTCCTGGCCTCACTGAAATCATCAACTGTGATGTTCAGATCTGTGCTGAAGGCTGTATGTGCGACTCTGGATTCTTCATGAATGGTACAGGCTGTGTTAAAGCAGATCAGTGTAGCTGTTATGAGAACGGACACGCCTATAAGGTAGGTTACAGAAAATCATAGCTATATCACACACAAAATCTACTGTGGTATGGCCCAAGGCTATTTTAAAAAATTTGTGTTTGCTATTAAAATTAGTCATTGATGATCTGTAGTGGTTTGTGAGATGATTTAACTGAGACATGTTTGAAGGAAGAAATAGGCAATACACAGTGAATACTTTAAGTAACTAAGGTTTGGGAGAAAGACCATGTCTGAAACTCCTCGCTCCTGGCTTGTGCATGCTACCAACCTCCCTTTCCGTTTTCTTTGACAAAGTATTTGCACCCCACCTCGTCCCAGCCTAATCCCAGTTTCACCAAGAAAAGTGCCATAAAGGCCTCTATGAGTGATGCCATAAACTAGGGGTGCACAACTCTGGTCCTGGGGGTTTCTGAGTAGAGCAACATCCAAACTTTTGAACTTTTTAAAGATTTAAAGAATCTATACTAATTTAAGGGTCCTTCCTAGAACCTTTACTTTATGTAGGTTCTTCAAACTTCAAAAAGGTTCTTCACACTCACACATCTCACTTACGAAAATGATTAATTACATTTATTAAAAGTTTTTTTAAGGAAACCAAAAGGTGGTTCTTCTGGGGCAGTCCTCCTGAAGATCTAGTTTCCAGGCTTAGTTCCAATCTGCATCTAACATGCTGCATGGCCTCTTACCTTAATTCTAAGGCTATGTTCAGATTTATTTCTCAAAAGAGATTTATTCAGATGACTGTCCGTTATTTCTAAGTGATCAGATCAGATTTGTATGTCCAGACATTACAACCTCTCTGCATGGGTTGCTGTGGTAACAACGTAGGTGTCAGCAACTACGTAGATATGCTGGTGATGCATATTTGAACTGCGAATGCAGAAGAGATGGAAGTGTATCGTCTCCAAACTCTTCATAATTCTCTGTGATGAACATGAATCTTTGGTGCTCTTTATGAATCCCAGCTCTTCCATCACTCTGGATTTGACATCATTGTTGTTTTCCACGTTGCAAGTGATGCAAAAGATGCTTTGAAATCCAATTTGAGTGTCCAGAGTGTCCAGATCATACAGACTGAGATACATTTGTAAAAATTGGAATGAAGGTAACACTTTATTTGGAGTGGTCCTTTGTAGATGATTAATAAACTCTTAACAGATTATAGTAGTAGTAGCAGTAACACATCAACAACATATCAGAGGCGTAGCAGTAGTAAGCATTTGAATACATTGAGGTAAATATCTTGAAGATGTACTGTTGATATTTTACTTACATTAAGTAGAGGTATTGTTAATATGTTACATGAAGTAGACTTTATATGGTACTTGCATTAAGCAAAACCTAACCCTAACCCTGGCCCTATTCCTAACCCTAACCTTAACTTCAATCCAAAACCTAATCTTAACCAACACCCTGGCCCTAATCTTAATCCTAAAGTCACCAGAATCACATTTCAAACCACATCCAAATGTGGTTTGTTTCCGATTTGCTAAAATTGGGTCTCTTGTGTTTTTTTGTGCTGTCCATACTATCAGAAATCAATCTGGATACAATCTGAATATGCCAAAAATTAGATTTGGGTTGGCAGTCTGAACATAGCCTAATGCATCTGATCCAGTCAATCAGGGACCTCTGAAGAAGTTTATTAGTCGGAGCAGGTGTGGCAGATAGTGGTTGGATCTAGACTCTGCAAGAAGGTAGCTCTCCAAGACCAGGGTTAGTGACCACTATTCTACAGCATTGTGCAAAAAACCCTTTTTGGTACCTTTATTTTTAGAACTATAAGCTCTTAAGTGCTGGGAAAACAAATGGCATCTGGGTTCTTTATCTATCCCTTCTACAGTTTTGCATTCACTCCTCAAACTATAGTTGATCAAGTGAAGGCATGGTCTACCTTAAAAGTTGTGATTGTCCACCTGTTTGCTTTTGCAGATTGGTGAATCCGTCACCACAGATGATTGTCAAGTACGGTTGACTTGTCTTTCTTCTGGAGAAGTTAAGCATGAGAACATGAGCTGTAAGAGTGATGAATCTTGCACGGTTAGGAATGGTGTTCAAGGATGTTACCCAAAGCAATGTGTGTTGGAGGCTGGAGGCTCCTTCACCTTCTTCAATGGGGAAACCTGGACTTTCACATCTTTGGGAGCCTTTGAATTGGTGAAAGTATGTGAAGAAGCTCTTGTGCTTGAGTGGTTCCGTGTGGTGGTGCAGGTGCAAGCCTGTGGGCAAACAGGTCTGATTGAAATTGTTGCTTTGCACGTGTTCTTTGAAGATGTGCTTGTGACCGTCACTGCAGAGCAGGAGATTTGGGTAAGTACAAAGACGATTTGCTTTGATTAGTGTGGAATGTTAACGCTCTATTGCACAATGTTGCCTCAGGGCAACAAACTAATGTTCCTCACTTTAAAATAACATTAAACATATTTAAAGACAATGAAAGGGTTAAAAATAAAGGGAAGAGTTTGAGTAAGTCAATTAAAAGCATATACTTGGTCATACTATCTCTTATTGGGCACCTTTAAACCCTTTTTAACATTCTGTATCAATATTTTTTGTTATAAGAATTTGCAGCAATATGTTTGTTGCCTAGAAGCAACATTGTGCGACAGTCTCAAGCCAGGTCTCACCACTTCAGGGAACATGGCTCTGTATCATTTCTTCCCATTGTCGCACCATATTGCCTCAAGGCAACATACTCCGAAAGGACCCCTGCACACATTTTTAAAAATGTTTTTTAATTTAATAATCAGATTCATTTTATGCAAGAAAATCATATACTTTTTTAAAAAATGCTCTCATAATGTGTGCAGTAGAGGGTTAAATTTTTAAATGGTAAGTGGATGAGAGAATGGATGTAATTCAAATAGAAAATAATCTTTGGGTGTTCAGCAATAATGTTCATAACAACATCTAACACATTTCTCAAAAATGCCTATATAACACGGTTATAACACTGTTTTGATTTTGCAGCTTAATGGTAAGAAGGTTGGCATCGTGGAAGTAAATGGGATTTCAGTGACGGCTCAAGAGGGAATTGTTATCATTAACAAGGGATCTGAACTCCAAGTGTCCTACAGTTTGTCAGAGGAGATAATAGTGACTGTGAGTGAAGCAATGGCTGGGAAACTTTGTGGTGCCTGTGGAAGTCTCACTGGAAAAGAGCCATTCTCTATTAACAGTGAAAACATAAACACTTACATGAATGGATATAGAGCGCCAGACTTTCCCCAGTGGTGAGTGTTTTTAACATTACTGAGAAATAGAAAATAGCTATACATGTGCGTTACAGTTATGTGTGCAATATAACTGGCATAATTTACATTTTTCTTATTTTTCTGAAGATCTCCACTGAAAGGTGCTACACTTGTATTCATATCAGGACAGAATATTGATTTTATAAACTGTTTTATTTTTTAATTAAGATTTTTTTTTTCTTACATTACAGTTCCTTGTGAACGGCTGCTGTAGAAACAGTGGTTCTCACTGCACGTCTGCAGTGCATCAGCCCTGAGTCCTTCTTGATATCACTGATTTGCAGTACTGCTAAGAATAATATCATCACTGACTGAACAAAAACTTGTATCTCCAAAAATTTTACAAGAGAAGGAAAAAACTTCAACTTTCATGGGAAATGAACGGACAAACGATTTATTCCAAGAAATGTTGGACCATTTATTTTGGTTTATTCATCATGAAATGAACACACAATACAAAAGGCATTCATTTTCAAATTAAGCCAAAAATGAAAAACAAAAATGAAGGTTTTGTCCCAACAGTGACAATATGCAGTACTAGCACTTAAGCTATGACTGTGTATATTGCAGTGCATGATGGATAATAAAATATCGTAATACTGAAAATTTCTGTGTATGTGTTTAATACTGGATTTTATGCACTCATCATTCATTTAAGCTTTATAAAAGAATGATACTTACTGTTAGTGGTAATAATGAGCCTCATTCATCAATATCTTCATAAGTTTTTTTCTTAAATTTGTTCTTGAGAAAGGTCCTAAGAAGAAGTCTATGTCAGATTCCTGATGTGTTCTTAAACCACAGAATTGTTCACCTTTGTGCTCTTGAGTGTGTAGGTTCTGTTTTGTTCTAAGAACAAATCCCAAATAAGAAAACACTGGTGAATGACAGAATCTTTGTGAAAACTGCATAAGACGGTTTTAAGAAGAAACTTCTACTTAGGAACAGTTGGGGAATGAGGACCAATGTTGTGGATTATTTGATTTATACCATCATTTTTAATGTTTAGTATAACTAGACTGACTGACTTTTTTAAAGTAGTCAGGGAAAATGTCCTTTAAATATTAGCAAAGCATGCAGTCAAACTCTTGTTGCCCAAAAGCATTTTAAATGAAAAGCATACCTGCAAAAATCTATAAATATCCTTGCTTGAAACCAGTTTTTACATGATTATTTATGTATTAAAATGAATACACTTGACTATATTTGTACATTTTTTATTAGGCTTAAATCTTTAGCATAAACAGTGGCCAAACCAAGTGACAATCAGAAGACAAACTGATAACAAATATATCCACAATCCAAAAAACAGGTTGGAGAATGAGAATGCAAACGCTAAGAAAAGAAGAAGTTTTACAAGACTCCTTAAAGGCAAAACACAAGCCTCAAATGATCACGCCAAGGTTAACAGCAGTAGAAAAATCTCCCTAAGAGGAAAAACCTTAAGAGGAACCAAGACTCCAAAGGGGAACTCATCCTCTTCTTGTCGACGCCGGATAGTAAAACAATAATACAACAAGAGCAGTACGAATTAAGAATGAAGATTTGGGTAATGAGTACAATAGTAATGAAATTATTAATTAAAAGTAAAACATTAATACAGAAAAAAGAAAAAGAAATGACTGTCATTGGACAGAAGTATTTAAATTAACCAATGTAAACCAGAGTTAGAATGAGATCTAAATCCACAGGTGCCTAATGACGCTAAGTAATATGGCGTGAGGCAGGTATAGCATTGATTAGGTCTACGTAAGTATATACAGAGGTTAAAGCTTTATACTACTTTAAGGGTTCTTCCTACAGCCTTTACTTTATGTGGAGGTTCTTTAAACTCTAAAAATGGTTCTTCACACTCACATATCCCATTTACCAAAACAGTTCTCTAAAGAAACATCCACTGAAAGAGTTTTAGGTAACCAAAAGTGGTTCTTCTATGGCAAAGTACAAAGACACTTTTTGGCAAATTAAATTTGATGAATATGACTGCTCCATTAACAAGACCCTGAAAAGTCAAGCGCTCTCCATGAAGCCATGTACTTCTGCAGGTTTTGATTCTGGACAGTGAATGGTGTGGTGTCACTTCCACAGGCGCCGCACACCTTGTCTGCCAATTCTTCACTCACAGTCACGGTGACCCCTTGTGTCAGACTGTAGGACACTGTAATTCCAGATTCCTTTTCAATGATGACTGCATTATCGGACCACTGCACTGCAATCTCATTCTTTAGTTGTTGGGGTAGAGTTACAGGCTTTCCATTGACCTGAGAAAAAGAAATATGCCGCATGAGAACTAGCTGGTTTACACTACTTCAGTTATGGTTAAGCTAAAAATCTGATTAACACACATTTTCCAAATCTAGTCAATCAACCAAGACGTGTTTAGTGCCCAAGTGTGCTTCTTTAGTATTGCATAGAAACTACAAGACTAATGTGGTTCCTGTACAATGAACTAATAGCCACTATGTTAGCATGGAGCAAACTGAGACTGGTTAGTAATTTGCATGGTTTGAGGAAAGTGTGCACTTGATTCAGGTATGCAGTTTGCATGATGTTAAATTAGTGGCTGTAAGCTTCCACTGATTATTTGCTTCATTAGCCTTGTAGCTCAAGTACAAAATTAAAGAATCTAACACCAAACACTGGCTGATTGACTACACTCTCAAAAAAATGGTTCTTCAAGGGTTCTTTAGTAAAGAAAATGGTTCTATATAGATCCATGAACACTCAAAGATCCCTTTGCATGAGTCTTTACATTATGAATCAGATTCTTCAGACTGATGGAGAATGTGCTATAGATGTTTCTCTACAGAACCTTTTTGAAAATGCTTCTATATAGCACCCAAACAAGTTCTTCTATTGTTATGGTGTCAGGCTTGTAATGATAAAAGAACCCTTTTGGGTGCTATATAGAACCCTTTTCAAAAACTGTCTATAGCACATTCATGCATATATATTTCATCAATCCAATGAACCCTTTCATGATGCAAAGAACCTTTTAATCATGCAAAGGGTTCTTTGAGTCTTCATGGTTCTATACCATTTCCTTACAAAACCATTTCCTTACAAAAGAATCCTTGAAGACTCCTTGAAGTCTTTTTTGAGAGTGTAGAAGAAACTTGTGCAAACTTGATTTTGGCTAAAATATCTAAAGACATGCAAGAGAAAAGTGTAAAACGTTTTCTGAGACGTACCCAAGTTGCCTGTTCGCTGTTCACAGATATCAAGGTGTCCTCAAAGAAGACATACACAAATGCAACACTGTTATGGCCACAGGATTCTAATTCCACCACCACACGGAACCACTCGGCAACAGCAGCGCCATCACACAGTTTCACTAACTCATAAGCTCCCATAGATGTGACGGTCCAACTTTCTCCACTGAAGAGGGTGAAGGAACCTCCAGCCTCCAACAGGCACTGTTTTGAGTAGCATCCACGAACACCATTCTTAACCTGGCAGGCCTCATAACTCTTACATTTGATGCTTTCATGTTTTACTTTACCAGAGGGAAGACAGGTCAAACGTTCTTGGCAATCATCTGTGATGACAGACTGACCAATCTGCAAAAATGAACAAGTGGACAGTGAGTGAGAAACAGATTTTTATATATCAAAGCAGACCATGCCTTCACTTGATCAACTGTGGTTTGAGCAGTGATTTCCAAATTATATAGACAAAATAGTTCTTACATTCTCACATTATGTGGGCAAAATAATCCTACCTTGTAGGTGTGTCCGTTCTCATAACAGCTACACTGATCTGGTTTAATGCAGCCCGTCCCATTGTTAAAGAATCCAGAGTCGCACATACAGCCTTCAGCACAGACCTGAACATCACAGTTGATGATTTCAGTGAGGCCAGGACAGGGTGTGCTACATGACTGAGCGCAGATTTCATAGTGACTGTTGGCAGGGCAGTTCAGAGCTAAAAAAAGGAAATTGAATTCAGTAAATAACTGAAGAATTAATTACACAATGAATTTATTTTACTCCTCTTATACACACTGATTTATACGTACGACAAAATGTTGACGTTCTCCAGTCCTTAACAGTAACTCCAAAGTCATGACAGTCAATCATGTAAGCAGCAATGCTGTGGCAGAGCATGTGATGATCTCCATCGCCAACACAGACATCGTAGACACAATCTCTGAAGTAGGACTCAGGGTTAATTACACTGTGACAGGCAGCAAATGGACCTTCAGGGTTGGTAATGATGCTGCAGTCCTTTTCAAAGACAGCTTTCTTGTCTGCAGGGCATTTTGGACAGAAGTCTCCAGAACAGCCATCGTCACACACAACACCGGGAACAGCCACCTTCCACGCAGCACCAAATGTTTTAATGTCTTTGGTTTCTTTACCATCAGGCAGCAAGAACTCATCAGTTTTGTTACCATTGTAGTTTCCACACAGTCCACACGTCTTTCCTTGGTAGCTGCCAGGGACTGTGATGCTAACATGATAAACCATATCGTAGGCGACTCTCAGGCCAAAGTCTGTAGTGATTACATTTTGATAGCCCTCCTGTTGGACCGTCACTTTTCCATTGTCCAGACTCACAGGAATGTTGGTCAGGACACCATTAATCTGGAAGTGTGTAGATGGGAAACCATCACAATGTAATCTCATGATATTTTGTACACATCAGTGAAATAGCTTTCTTGAAAAGTCTGTACTTTTCAAAGGGCTGTAGTCTCCTAGCCTTTTGTAAAGTACTAGCAAACAATTAAGACTTCCATGTGTTTCATAACTTAATCGTAATACAGACTCCAATGTTGTGCTCTATCATTAGGAGCTAAGTTTGAATCCTAATTATTAACCTGTAGCATTGCTGGCCAATCAAGGTATCTACTCTATGACACAGATGTCATGGGGAATTGCGTGCGCCTTGGAGAAAGTTTGAGGTTTCTCATCCCTTCAGGTTGCTTAGTACCTCACAATTAAGATAATTTAAGGTGGAAATGTGTAAAAATCAACATTGGGTATATTTGAGCTGGGTCGATCCCAAAAAGAGTTGATTCCCCTGAAAAAGAGCTGAGGTCTGATTCCAGGCATCCAGACACTGTGTTTGAAAATGCTGTCAGAATCCTTCTACAACACACACATGTATAGACTGGCTGTATTTTACTAGACAAAGTGAAGGACAAAGTGGAAACAACATAAAATCTAAGATCTGTAATAAAAAGTGGACTACAATCAATATATGGTCAAATCAGAAGCCGTGTAGAAACCTTCCGCTTTGTTGATCATACTGCGGCGGTTTTGCACAGCAGTGGGAATGTTTCAAATTGGGGTCCTAAAATTTTACATCATGCAAAATGTCACTCAAAACGTCATGCAAAATGATATGCTTTTATTTTCATTTGAATTTTTAGGATAATTCATATCAAATACAGCATGCTTTAACGTGGTGAGAGATGACATTAAACTGACACATCAAACTTTGATGAACTTCATGCAAATGAACGACCAAGAAGAATGTTGTAACTGATTGTGCCACCACAACAGACACTCTGAAGATGCAATACTCTTAACGTACACTGAGTGCGAGATGTGGTTAATTGAGACATTATCATGTTTGAATCTTAAGTTTAAACAATACTGAGCACTTTGGATCACAGAACCTACAGCTCTGGATACACTTTTACTTGCTTACGTTGTAGCGCCCAAAGTGCCCAACATTTGTTACGATTCATTTTGCTGTAATGTTCAGCTTCAGCTTAAACAGTGCAGAAAAAAACAGAAAAAAATGCAAAAATACAGTAAAGTACAAACACAAAGATCCTTACTATGCTCAGATTATTCATTTTAAACTTTATAGCAGTCAAAACAACTGTATGTTACATCAATGTTATGCATTGATGAGGCATCTTTTGATGCTTCTCTTGAGTGATTTGTGCCAATAAAATTCTGTAAATAAACACACTGCAGAAATATCCAGCTTCTCTGGCCAAAATGAAGACGCCCTTGTTTCCCTTGTGCTATATCAGCTTCTGTTCAGGATGTTGTGGGAATTGTGCTAGGTCTCATGCAGGTAAATTGCTACGTCTATCTTAGTGGCATTATGACATTGAATTTATTGATACTAACAAGTCATTACATTACACAATCACACACTCCTAAAAACCCTATCCATTAACACTGCATAATTCTTTCAACACAGGTAATACAATTGTACATACTGTAATTAAGTTTGGACTCACTGTTATCTGATGAAGCTGGTTTCTCCGCAGCACTAAGGTCATGCCATAAACCTCCACCACAACCACTTTGGCCATTGAGACGTTCGGAGTGAGCTGGATCTCATCCCACTTCTCGTTCTCCACTACAACTGCAAACGGAGTGAGCTGTGTTCCCTCTAGATGGCAGCCCTGAGCGGCGGTGTAGGTGCAGGTACCCTGGAAGTCATAGGTGGCGTTATCAAATGTGTTGTAGTGGGGGTCGCCGTAGATGTTGCAGGTTGCTTGAGTAAATGGATAGCAGTCTCTGATCCCTTTAACAACACTGCATTCTGATCCAGTTGGGCAACTAGCAGCCTCACACACAATTTGACCACTGCTTGGGTCGCAGGTGCACTTTTTGCTGCAAGTGTCATCAGCCCAGATGGACTGTCCAGCCTGTAGATAGTGCTGCTCTCCTCCACTGCTGTACATACAGCCACACTGAGGCTTAGGGGCACACATGTTTCCACTCCACAGGTATCCATCGTTACAGACGCAGGCCTCCACACAGTTAGCTTTGCATTCAGCAGATGGAGTGGGATTCTCACAGGTAGCAGGACAGGCGCAGGACTCAAAGTGACTGTTTTCAGGACATTTGGGAGCAGCTAAACAGAAGAAGCAGTTGATTACTTTTCTATCAAAAACACAGTTTACACAATTTCTGTCATTCTGATAAGCAAATTTTTATTAAATGGACAAGCAACACAAACAAAAGTTGAATTTTTTAATTTTATGTTTAAAAATGTGACTATATAAGTAAAAATACTTAAAAATATAAGAGAACTAAATGTCCCAAAAAGTCTTCAGTCTGTTCAACAGAATTTCTACTTGAGGAAGTTGAATTATTTCTCAACTGACTGTGATTGGTCCTAATCACCACATTGTTTTTCAGAGACCCTCCCCTGACTGTGATTGGTCCTAATCACTGTATTGTTTGTTCAGAGACCTCCCCCTGACAAAGTTTGACCCTAATTACTCTGAGACCTCCCCCTGACTGTGATTGGTCCTCATCGCCACATTGTTTGTTCAAGACCTCGCCTGACTGTGATTGGTCCTAATCACTGTGTCATTTATTCTAAGACCTCCCCCTGACAGTCATTGGTCCTAATCACTGTGTTGTTTATTCTGAGACCTCCTCCTGACTGTCATTGGTCCTAATTACTATGTCATTTATTCTGAGACCTCCCTTAGTCACCGTGTCCTTTGATCTGAGACCATCCCCTGACTGTGATTGGTCCTAATCACAGTGTCATTTGTTCTAAGACCTCCACTTGACTGTGATTGGTCCTAATCACAGTGTCATTTGTTCTAAGACCTCCCCTTGACTGTGACTGGTCCTAATCATGGAATTGTTTGTTTTGAGACCTCCCCCCGACTGTGACTGGTCCTATTCACCACATTGTTCTGAGACCTTCCCCTGACTGTAGTTGGTTCTCATCACAGCATTATTTGTTTTGAAACCTCCCTGTGACTGTGATTGGTCCTAATAACCATGTTGTTTGTTCTGACGTCCCTGATTGCAATTGGTCCTAATTAGTTTTCTATCTTGCCATTAAAAATGAAGTATGTATGGCTGCATTTCTAAACTTCCAGAGAGATTTTATTTTGTTTTACACAAATATCTCATTAAAACAGGGCTGTCCGATCTTATCCGCAAATGGCCACTGTGGCTGCAGGTTTTTGTTCCAAATAAGCAGAAGCACACTTGATTCTACTTGTTTAAACAGTTGTTCTCAGTCTTTAAACAATTGATCATGTGTGCTCTGGCTTTTTGGAATGAAAACCTGCAGACACACCTGCTCTTTACAGATAAGATAGGACATCCCTGCATTTATACGTGATTTAAGGCATAGGGCCTCATTCACCACCAGAAGAAATTTCTACTTAAAGCCCACTTACGCAGTTTTCATGAAGATTCTGACATTGACCAACGTTATCTTATTTGGGATTTGTTCTAAAGTAAGAACAGAATCGACACACACTCAAGAGCACAAAGGTGCAAACACTTCTGCGGTTTTAGAACACATCATGAATCTGACATAAACTTTTTCTTAGAACCTTTCTTAAGAACAAATTTAGGAAAGACCTTAAGAAGATATTGGTGAATGAGGCACATAGTTCTTATTGGTTATATCATACTCACGGCAATTGAGGAGGCTTCTCCAGTTATAGACTCTTATTCCCGCTCGCTCACAGGCATCGGTGTACATTTCAGTAGCGTAGCATAAGAAGTTTGTCATGTCTTTGCCAGCACAATAGCCATACAGGCAATTATTGTAGAAGATACTGGGGTCAATGACACTGTTGCATTCTTGTAAAGGTCCTTTTGTGAGAGCTGTGACAATGCTACAGTACAACTTTGCATTCATGAGCTGGAACCATGAGGCCCCTTCACAACTCTGACACTGTCCCGCACACTCATCATGACAGAAAGCATCCCCTGGTAAACCTGGAACCCTCCAACTCTTTCCCAGTGCTGTAATACTGCTCGCCAAAGAACCACTGGACGTAGTGAGGTCGTCATCTTTCTTGCCATTGAAGTTCCCACACATGCCGCACATCTTTCCCATGAAGCTGTTTGGAACAGTCACTACCAGAAACTGGTCCCAGTCGTACTGCACTGACAGACCAAAATCTGTCTGCATAGTAACCGAGAGGCCACTTGCCTGGAGTTTCACTCGGCCATTGTTCAAAGAGATTGGAAGGTTCCAAAGCATGTTATTGATCTGAAATGAAACATGTATGAAAAAGTAATTCTGAATGATCCAGATCTTGAGAGCAAAGACAGCTCTACACAACATTTGGATCAATGGAAAACACATACCTTCACAAGCCCATTCTCATTGCGGATGAAGGTGATATTATTGCCATAGACTGCAGTAGTGACCACAGCAACAACAGTCTTCTGTGTGTTACCATTGCGTTCATTCTTGGTCGTGACCTCAAATTCTGGGTGTTCACTGTCTACATGGCAGTTCTTGGCAATTATGTAGGTGCAGTTGCCCATGAAGTTGTAGTAATCACCGTCAAAAGTGCGGTAATGTGGGTCACCCATTACCAAGCAGGTTCCAATGTGAGCAGATGGTGAACTTTGGGCATATTCGGATTTGGCCTTCAGTTGACAGTCTTCACCCTTCTGACATGTGATGCTACTGCTAGCACAAAATGCTAGAAGGAGAAAATTCATTTAATATGAAATCACGTTTCAAATATACAACGGCAAATAAAACATAATAAAAGAAATTATATTTGAACACATTGTACTGATTTCTGGTGACCTAACCTACTTTCTGGTTTTTGGTCTGGACTTACCGAACAGCAGTAGGAAAGCAACATTACATAGAATGTCTTTCATCTTCAAGCCTGTGACAAAGGGTTTTAAAATTAAATATGTAAAATATATTTCTAACTTTTCATCATTCATAACTTCTTCCAGATATTTTCTCCCAGGAATGCAAAGATATTTTAATCTGAAGCAATGTTATATGTGCATACCTTAAGAGTCTTCTAGCAGAAGGCAGTCTGATTAGGTTGAATTGCAACAGCCTTATATTCTTTTGGATGACTGAATTAGCAGCCAATCAAAGCTAGGGTACAACAGTGCATGTGCATTTTGTTTAACCTGCATGTGACAAACCCCACAGTCAAACCCTCGTGCCCATAGTTTCTATATGTGAACTGACTATACCTACGCTAGCACTTGGTTTATCTTTTGATAAATATTGTATGTAGTATGCAGAGCTGCTGATTACTTAACAAGATTTACAGCAGGAGCACGTACATGAGTCACCCAGTGGGTGATAAGATATTAAGGTACACATGCAAATCGACATTCAGCTATGCTTTGAAGGTTAATGTCACTAAAATTATGGACAATTGGAAGTAAAAGTAGAAAATTAAAAGGAAAATACATAAATGGGATGTACATCATACCATAAACAATGTATGAGTGGTTGGTGCGCTGAGGTGCTGACACAAGATAATCCACACTTCATGAAAGCCACTTTATAACAAGAGGCCACAATAACTATCAACTTAATGATTATCTAATACATTGTTAACGTCTTTTAATAATTACAAATCATCGCTGCCCCCAAAAAAATCTAATGCCAAGCCCAGCAAAAACACCAAAAATAATCATTCTGCGGTTTAATTCTTGCATTGTACTTACTGGGAATAAATGCCATATAGTGAAGCTACTTTACATTAAGCCTGATGACCATGACTACTGTGCTGTTTCAGCTAAGAATAATGTATTTGTGAATAGACTGTGTGAAATATTAGACGTGAGTTCACTTTAATGGAACTGGCTGGGTTGGAGCAGGCCAAATGATACTGATTTTCAGTGGGAGCGGGTGGGAGTGGTACCAAAAGGTCTCGTGCAGACCTCTACCTTGAGGTTTCTTGCCCGGAGTGGACGTGCTACTTCTTCACCTTCCCACGTTGGACTGATGGCAGACTCTATGCTATAGTGACCCACTAATGCCTCTTGAGGTACAAAGTGGTATTACGAGACAGGACGGGCTGGGGCAAGCTGGTTAGCATGCAAATTCTCTGCAACACAACACATAAACGTCTTAACATCAAAACTGTTATTTCTTCAGATTCTGTTGATAATTTTAGTTTATTCTGGAATGTTTTAAACTAAAATCTTGATTTAGTTTTTTTATTTCAATTGAACCTTTAAAGTATGCATGTGTGTAAGAGCAACTGCTATGTACATGTCTATGATTAGGCTTTTTGGCTGCTCCTCTTTATCATGTGTGTCTCCAAAAATGCTTAATGCAGAATTTCACAGTGGAAACTGGAAAGAAAAGAGGACCATTTTTATTTCTCTTCAAACTCAAAGTGATTGTTTGACAGCTGTAATACAATTAAATAATTGCTTTTATTTTAACCAATAATAACTTCTACAGTGTAGATTGAAAAACTATAAGCTAGGCACCAGGAAATATTTAATAAAATATCTTAAATTTCTTACTTAAGTTATCTGCCTAGAGATTTGACTATCACTTGTCAAACACTCTGAATATTATATTATAATATATTCAGTGTTTTACAGCTTGCTCAGTCATTACAGAATCAAGCACAGCTCTGTTCAGCATTCTGTACACATCTAAGACTTTTTTTTCACACCTCCACACAAATTAGCAGAAACCTATTGTAGTGTATAGTGGTCGCCTCATAAAATGACAAATAAATCATAATAAATACACCTATGACAACTTTTGAACAGTGACTCTTTTAAACGGTGGTGTAATAAATAGAAAGATAATATTATTGTTTTACCAAACCTGCATAAAATCTCCAGAACTGGTCAGAAACCCTGAGTAATGAGCAAGAACGCTACTGTGGCCTGACATTCAACTCTTTTTAATAAAAGATGATTAGTCACACTCAATACGCAGATATTCATTTAGATTATTAATAAAAAGTCCCAATTCTGTGTGACTTTTCAGAAAGGTTCGTAGATATTTGGGCGTATTTGTATTAAAATATAGAAACAATTTGTATAGGTTAGGTTTAGCATAACTTTTACTGACTTGAATGGTGTGTAATGTAAACGCAAAATCAACCTCATACATTAGAATTACTCCAGTATGTGCAGAATTATATTCAGATTGTCCCAAAATAAGCTAATTGAAATATGTGTTTGTGCATATACATAACCTCTTCTTTACTAATCTATAAGCAAGGTTGCATAACTAGGTGTGGCCTGGCACTTTTTCTTTGCTCAGAATGTGTTCTGTTATAAGCTCATGTGTATGTTATTCTGAGCTATTCTGGCATTGCCTATATGACTTCAAGAAAACTTCCTTCTAATGATTCATTCTCACAATCTAGCACAACACAATGACTGACCTTAAACACATTAAAGGAGAAAAAGGTAACCTCAGGTACCTCCATCAGTTTTATCATATCATGGCACGCTATATTTTAAATGCAAAAAACTCACAATGATACACTTATCTTCAAAGAACTGCTGCTGTATTGTTATTGCAGATCAGATAGTATTGCTTTTGATGGTCTTTTCACACCTAAGTGTTTTTTTATCAGATAATATCCCCTGCCTAATGTAATGCAGTAAGCATTTTCCCCTCAGGAAATCTTATATTTGCTGTAAGCTAAATCTGTTCCTGATTAAGTTCATGAGCCTGACAATGTGAGGTTAGACAGAAAGAGTACATTAGTTAAGTTTTACCTTATTGTGCAGAAAAGATTACTGCATCACTCAGCTGTAGCAACAGTGATGAAGGGTGTTCAGCCCACAGAAGTGTTTATGCTGTTATAAAGTCATGCGAAGCTTCACATAATGTGCCACGAAAATTAGTACCTTGTTCTACAGAAACTTACCATTTAGAATTGTTCACAGTGGTGGTGATAGGAACCATAGGAATGCCTCTGAAAGCTCCAACACAGAAAGGTCTATATATATTCATCTTTATATAAGTTCTGTATATAATTCATAGTGTACATGCATGATGTGGTAAGGAAAAAATGTCAACAGGTTAGTTACCCTACAATTACAACCCCATTTCCAAAAAAGCTGGGATGCTGTGTAGACTGTAAATACAAATAGAATGCAACATGTATTATCATGTGTAATATGCAAATCATGTAAACCATATTTTTAAAGGAAAATAGTACGACATATCAAGTGTTGAAACTGAGAAATTGTATTGTTTTTTTGATTAATATATGCCTATTTTGAATTTGATGCCAACAACACATTCCAAAAAAGTTGGGACGGGGGCGTGTTTACCACTGTGCTGCATCACCTCTTCTTTTAACAACACTCTGTAAGTGTTTGCGAACTGAGGAGACCAATTACTTTAGTTTTGAAAGAGAAATGTTTTCCCATTCTTGTTTTATATAGGATTTCAGCTGCTCCACAGTTCAAGGTCTCCTTTGTCATATTTTTCATTTCATAATGTGCCAAATGTTTTCAGTGGGGACAGGTCTGGACGGCAGGTAGGTCAGTTTAGCACCCGGACTCTTTTAATACGGAGCAATGCTGTTGTAATACATGCAGAATGTGCTTTGGCCTTGTGTTGCTGAAATAAGCAAGGCTTTCCCTGGAAAGGATGTCATCTGGATGGCAGCATATGTTGCCAAAACATGTATATATATCGTTTAGCATTAATGGTGCCTTCACAGATGTGCACGTCACCCATACCATGTGCACTAATGCACCCCTATACCATCATGAATACTGGCTTTTGAACTGTGCACTGATAACAAGCTGAGTGGTCTTTAGCCTGGAGGACACAGTGTCCATGATTTCCAAAAAGAATTTCAAATGTTGATTTGTTTTCCATTTCCCTTCAGTCCATTTTAAAGGACCTTGGCCCTAGAAAAGGTGACAGCATTTCTGGGTCCTCTTTATATATTGTTTTTTTCTTTGCATGGTAGAGTTTTAACTTTTGTGGATGCAGCGACAAACTGTTTCCAAAGACAGTGTTTTTCAGAAGTGTTTCTGAGCCCATGCAGTGATTTCTCTGAAACTTTTAATGATATTATGTACTGTAGATGATGAAAAGCAAAAGTTCTTTGCTATTTTACATTGAGAAATCTTATTCTTGAACTGTTACACTATTTGCTCGTGCAGTCTTTCACAGAGTGGTGAACTCCTCCTCTTCTTTACATCTGAAAGACTCTCTGGGATGCTCTTTTGTACCCAATCATGTTACTAACCTGTTGCCACTCAACCATCAGGTGTTTTTTTTTAGCATTATCCAACTATACAAGCCTTTTGTTGTCCCTGTGCCTACTTTTTTCGAACGTGCTGTTGGCATCAAATTCAAAATGGGCAAATATAAAAAAAATACACTTTTTCTTTCATCTTTTTTGGGAATGGGGTTGTAATATATTACAATAAAATATACAATTAATATAAACTTCTTAGTGTGATCTACATTCACAATATTATAGAAAAATATTTTCAATATATTTAATATAAATAAACAAAACAACAATACAATATATATATATATATATATATATATATATATATATATATAATGTAGATCACACTAAGAATTTTATATTAATTGTGTATTTTATATTAATTTATTACAACCCCATTTCCAAAAAAGATGATACATATATATATATATATATATATATATATATATATATATATATTTACAGCGCATAACTATATATAATATTTGATATCTGACTGCTCTTTTGGAACTCAGCTATGCACTTCTTTTTGACAACCATCCCACGACTAGAATATCTTGCAGAGTTTCAAAAAGTTTGGGGTGGGGGGGGTTGGCTACGAATTTACACCAGTGATGAAGAGACAAAAACTAATAAATGGTATATAGTTTAATACAGATCTGAGAGTGAGAAGGAAACAATTACTAAGCATAGAAACAGGCTAAGCAGCAAGACTTCACAAAGACTGAATGAACATAACATATTATACGAATATAATATATGAATATAGCAACTGAATTAATGAAACAATTAGTATATCATATGTTGATTTTTATTGTTGTACATCTTTTGAACACAGCGGTGCCCTTTACATTGTGCCCTTTACATTTCTCAATAAAACAGCTTTTCATTACATTAAAAGTTAAGAAAATTTTTGGCTTATCCTGTAAAGCTACCACGTTGCAGATACATGTTATTTTAGACAGTGACAATATACTTTGCATACTGTGCATATTCAGTAGCATAAAGTTGACATACATTAACAAATCCAGATCAATATAGTAACAAATAATGAATAACTCTTAAAAGAAATAATTATTTCATGAAGCATTAATGACAATGTAGAAGCTCATATGTGTCTTAATTTGTGAGGATGTTCTCTGAAGGATAAGTCTACGTAGAACATTCACTACAAAGGAACTGAATTCCTGATTTGTTCATGAGTAGTTGGGTAAGATGTAATAGATTACATATGTCTTTTAAAGTAAATGTTAATGTTTTCATTAATGATACACTTTACATTGGTTTAGTCATGATTAGTTAATTCTGAAGTAAAAGTTAATACAAGTGTTTTAAACTATTGTTTTAATTAAGCTTTACTGATTGTTCAACCTTGGAACACATTTTCTTGAAGTACTAATCCTTGTGTTCTTCTCCACACTTAATCAAGTTTATCCAAGCTTTTCTTCCTTTCGATGACGTGTTTAATCTCTTTGATCAGGTTTCCCTTGTTGTTTGTGATGTTTGAATAAGCTTTCTCCATAAGACCTGTGCTATCATCAAGACTGTATTCTCGTTTACGCCAGCTGTATCTTTCCTCCCACTCCTTAATGTCTCCTGAAAAAAAAAAAAAATACTGTTTAGAGCACTGTGTCATTTTTGTTACTTCTTCTCAAAGTTTGAGGAACTTTGATCTAATGACTTTTTTTCAGTATGCCATAGTTACCATTGCAGTTAACAACATTGAAAAGAGGAATGTGAATCACAGTTGGAGCTTCACCGGAACCCTCAAACACATAGAAGTCCTGTGGTGCTTCCCGAGTGGCATCATCAATGTTAGTGACTTTAGGGAAAGGAATGTGTAGCTCTTCACACATTTTAGCAGCATCCTCCACTGTCTGTAGGGAAACATATTTTCTTGTACATGCTCAATTTTCTTCTGTACATATATACTTTGTGTGTGTGTGTGTAGTACCTGAAAGGGATCCCCTGTACTGAAATCAAGAGAAATGATGAGGTCAATGTCTCGTTCTTTTCTCAGCACTGAGAAATAGGGTGAGTTGAGTAAGACTCCTGAATCCTCATATTCTCTTGTCTTTGAGTGAAGAACACTGGGGTCAACTTCTTCCACTGATGACACGGTGAAACAATACATATTTCATCAAGCTCTCCCCTGTTTTATTAAGCTATTTATTCACCGACACAATGCCTGGATCATTTCTGTCACTCTAAAACTTCTACAAGATAAAATGTACATTATATGTCCAAAAGTATGTGGACACCCCTCCAAATTATTGTGTTCAGGTGTTTAAACCACACTCAGCAGGTGTATGAAAGGGGGTAGCACACAGTAATGCAATCTCCATAGACAAACATTGGCAGTAGAATGGGTTGTACCAAAGAGCTCAGTGACTTTAAACGTGACACTGTCTCACACTGAGGTTATTAATTAGTATATTACAGTATAGTATTTTATATTCTATGTAGTATGTGTCATCTATGTATCTATGCAGTACAAAACAATAAAGTTATAGTTTTTACCATATTATAGTCTAAATATATTGGAGGTACTTATAAATTATAAATTATAGTGAGATTCACAAATACAGCACCACAACAAAGATTAATTTCATAATTTCATATGAAGGTTAATTTCTTACCTTTCATATTGTAGAGAAAGTTGTATGTTGTTCCCCAGGTCCAGGTTAAAAGTTTTGTTATGCATTCAGCAGTATCTGACAAAACAATATTTAAAAAAAATAATATAAATACCAACAACAACTAGGTTGATGCACAGCCCAAGACTTCTACTATATTCTGCATTTATGCCAGACCTCAGTCACTGGTAAAGTAATAAAATGACCCCTTTCACAGCTGAGACATGTAAAAAACCACATATATTGTTGAAGGCAAGGGAAAAGGCCACATATATGGTACCCTGTTTAAAGAAACACCATATATTGGCCTTGAATCACACTTACACTGGAAAGCTAACCCAGCTCTTCTGGCAGTCCTTTATGCTGAGTTGCTGGTTTACCAGGTTCATCTACCACCTTCACATAAGTTTTACATTCCCACACATAATATGACTGTTGTGGGTTGTATGAATAAGGCACAGCAGCACTTTTAGCTTCAGCCAGTATAATGTTTCCAGGATTGGTTAGTGGGCAAAATGAGTGACTTGCAATGACTTTGAATGTGGCATGATAGTTGGTGCAAGGCATGCTGTTCCAGCATTTCTCAAACAGCTGCTGCCCTGGGGTGGAACCCTAGTGAAACACATCCCACATAACCTATAACCCCACTGAAGCACATCCCAAAGATCCCTACTGAGGCATATCCCATAAGACCCTACTGAAGCACATCCCAAAAGACCCTACTGAAGAACATCCCACATAACCCTACGGAAGCATTCCATAGAACCCCACTGAACTACATCCCAAAGGACACATCCCAGAACCTTACTGAAGCACATTCCATATAACCCTACTGAAGCACATTCTATATAACCGTACTGAAGCACATTCCATCCCAAAGGACCCTACTGAGGCATATCCTATAGAACCCTACTGAAGAACATCCCACATAACCCTATTGAATCATGACCCTTAGGACCCTACAGAAGAACATCCCATAGGACCCTACTGAACTACTTCCCAAAGGACCCTACTGAAGCATATCCTATAGAACCCTACTGAAGAACATCCCCCATAACCTTACTGAAGCACATCCCATAGGACCTTGCTGAACTACTTCCCAAAGGACCCTACTGAAGCATATCCCAAAGAACTGTACTGAGGGGTTCAAAACCCACCCACTTCAACTCAGGAAGGGTTTGTTAATTAGTGGATTAGTTGGATTGTGGCAGCACTATCCAGGGTAAACACTAAAATATGCAAGGCAGGGGGTCTTCCAGGAACCACTGCTCTAGTCCTTTATCAGTGGTCACAGGATGCTGCCCACAGGACACTGTTGGGTGAAAGTTTTTGGTTGGTAGACTATACTCAGTCCTCATGAGGTGTTTAAAAACTCCAGCAGCACTTGTGTCTGATCCACTTGTACCAGCGCCCCACTGAATGAAAGGTCTTTAAATTATTTAATTTAGCACAAATGATGATTGATTTGAATCAAGTTGATTGTTTTGAAAATGTATCAATGAAGAAATACTACTCACCAATCAATAAATCTTCTATAATGCACGCAGAAAGGTTGCGCTGCTCTGTCTTGGAGACACTTGATTCTGATGACAAATCAACATATTGATGTATGTGTCTTTTCTAATATTGTTACAAACTGGGCATATAATAAGTAATCATAGTAAACTATGATTAAAAAGCAGAGGTAATTCAACATGTCATTCCATACTGCAAGAACAAATCAATTGTAACACAGTGTTAGAATTTAGATCAGGGGTGTTGAACTCCATTCGTAGTGGGCTGGATTTCGGAGTTTGGTGATATTTCTACTCAAGCACACCTGATTCTGTAAATTACCAAGTTTGGTTAGTGTGCTAGAGCAGAGAAATCACCAAATTATGCTGGACTCTTGCCCTCAGTTCCCTACCCCTGCTTTAGGTTATGTATGTGTTCTTAGGTTTATGGGATATGTAGGTGAACTCAACCTCTCAGTAGGTCATCCATGGCTTTGAGTTTAACTGTGGGATCCTCTTGTCTTAACACACAAAGGTTCAGTTCCACAAGGGTTGGGAGCACCTGGCGACCTTTCTGCACATCTAATGCTTGTGATGCATTCCTTTCCTGTGTGTCTTATGGTTGAGAAAAAGATAAATAAATTAATAAATTTAACGAATCATTAAAAAATGAAGACTTCCAAAAGCTTCCAAACCAGCTTAAAAACATTTTTTTTATTTGAACACAAATATACCCATTCAGCTTTCTTACTTGTCGGAAAAAAGAAATGTATGATCTCTTGAAATATTATCTTGAGGTCCTCTTCCAAATCCGCAATCGCACTGCCACACAGGCCTGTACAAAGAAATGAAAAAGAATAACCAATAAGATAAAATCTGGGTTCTTTGACATCTATGACCAGTGAACACACACATTTCACACGTCATTGACCCCTGGCCAGTAACATGTTGATTCTGTGCCTTCTGTGATCAAAACACACCTGAATCAGCCAATCAATGGCTGTTGAATGCTAAAAGTGCAGGGATGGATTTTGGCCTCAGAGGCTTCTGGGAAGAAGCCTCTTTGGAGAAGCCCTCACCCCAAATTTAAAAGAAATAATGAAATATATAAATAAATAAAATAAATAGCTTAAATTAATTTAATTAGTTCAACAAATTATTTTGTTTGTTTATATTTGAAAAGAAAAAAAAATACTGTGTTAAAATTGTTCAAAAATGTATTAATTCTTAATTAATATGCAACAGCCTATTGTTTTTCTGCACTTTTTTAGTGTTAGTGGGCTTTTAATTATGTTAATTATTGGCAGGGTATGGACTATTTCATTATTTCATTTATTTAGTCACAATATTTTCAAGGCCAATTTGTTTATCTAAATTTTGTATCTGCAGTGGACCATCTTTGAGCCACCTTCAGCCTTGTCAGACATCACAACCCTGGCAGTAAGAAGTCCCTCGGCAGTGGCCCCACTGGCCTTGTCAGTAATCCATCTGAAGCATCATAATTTGGATTCTTATTGTAATTTTTACTGATATCAGTGTTATTGATGTTTTCACGCTAATTTGTTACAGGATTTTTTTAAAACACATAATGTTACCTTGTAGGTACAGCATGTCCATCTCAGGCTGGTCTGTAATCTTCTTTCCATTCTCAAACTGACTTCCCAAACAGGAAGAATCCACAAAGGCTCCAGAGAGAGAATAACCTGACTCATCTGGAGTGATCTCAAACCAGACATCTGAAAAACAGGAATTACTCTGTGAGGTTTCCATTTTATCATACAAACACACCCGTCCATACATAAGATATATAAGATATATGAAAATTACCTTTTGTTAATTCATCATGTTTACGCTGCTTGTCAATCACAGTGTAAATGGGATACGGGTCATTGGTGCACTTGCCCCTCTGCTTTGTGAGAGTGTTTTCATCTATCTGTAGATAAAAAACAAACTTCTGTGTTTTTGTATGTTAGTGTAAGCTAAATAAAAGCATTTTAGCTTTTATTTTCATTTTTTGTGATCTCAGAAATTCAGTTTGCACATGTGGAAATTTCACTAGTAAAAAAAATCCACTAGTAATTATTACATATAGTGAATAAAGCCTCTAATGAATACATCACATCCACCTGAGAGTTGACTGAGATTCAATGGAAGAAATAAGACTCAAAAAGTGACCTTTCTTAGTGACAGCCTTAACATACTCAGTGTAACAAATTTGTTTAAATTTGAATACTCACTAAGAAATCCTTCAAAATTCTAAAACTTTTTTTTTTGCTGTTAAATGAATATATATATATATATATATATATATATATATATATATATATATATATATATTCCCTTACCCTGTGATGAGTGACCAGAACTTCAGCGGAAACAGGCAAAACGTTAAATGCTTCTAACATGCTAACATGATATAATCCCATTTCCAAATGCTGTGCAAAATGTAAATAAAACAGAATGCAATGATGTACAGATCATTTAAACCCTATATTTAATTAAAAGCTATATATAGTATAAAGCCAGCACAACAAATGTTGAAACTGAGAAATGTTCCTGTTTTTAAAAAATATATGCCTATTTTGAATTTTATGCCAGAAACACATTCCAAAAAAAGTTGGGACAGTAGCATGATTGTGCACTCTGTAGTTTTAAAAGTGAAATGTTTTCCCATTCTGGCTTGCTATAGAATTTCAGCTGCTCAACAGTTTGGGGTCTCCTTTGTCATATGTTTTATTACATGTGCCAAATGTTTTCAATGAGTTACAGGTCTGGTCTGCAGGGATACCAGTTTAGCACATTTTACTATGGAACCATGCTGTTGTAATATGTCCAGAATGGCACTGTATTGCTGAAATAAACAAGGCCCTCCCTGAAAAAGACGTCATCTCGATGGCAGCATATGTTTCTCCAAACCTGTATATATATTAATTAGCATTATTGGTGCCTTTACAAATGTGCAAGTCACTCATGCCATGTGCACTAATGCACCCCCAGACCATCAGACAAGCTGGATGGTTCCTCTCCTCTTTAGCCTGGAGGACACAGTGTCCATGACTTCCAAAAAGAATTTAAAATTTTGATTTGTTGGACCACAGGACACTTTTCCGCTTTGCCTTAGTCCACCTTAAACGAGTTTGGGCTCAGAGAAGGTGGCGGCGTTTCTGGATTCTGTTTACATATTGTTTCTTCTTTGCATGATAGAGTTTTACCTTGCGTTTGTGGATGCAGCAACGAATAGACAGTTTTCATCCCATGCAGTGATTTCCTCTACAGAATCATGTCTGTTTTCAACGCTGTGCCACCTGATGGCCCAAAGATCACAGCCAGCCAATATTAATTGTTGGTGCTCTTTTTATACACAGTCATGTTACTGACCTGTTGGCAGTTAACCTAGTTAGCTTTAACATGTTCCACCAGGTGTTTTTTTTGTGTTTTGTTGCCCCTGTCCCAACTTTTTTTTGTGTTGCTGGCATCAAATTCAAAAACAAAACACAATAAAATTTCTCAGTTTCAACATTTGTTATGTTGTCTTTCATTCAATGAAATTAAACCCTCAATTAAATTTAGGATTTAAATGATTTGCATGTCATTGCTTTCTGTTTTTATTTACATTTTGCACAGCATCTCAACTGTTTTGCAAACGGGGTTATATGTTAGTGCCAAGCAGCTCAGTGCTATATTGAATTTTGATGTCAGTGCTAGTTTAACCGCAGACAGATCATAACAGGCATGTATGTAACATTCTAACATTCTCCTTTTTTGAATTTGAAGTCTATCTTTTATTATTGTAGCATTAGCCTGTTAGCCGGTTAGCACATTCTTTGGCATCACTAAAACAGTAACGAATGACACTTTGATTTCCCAACTGTATATTTTCAGCCACAACCTCAAAACACATTGTTCATGTGAAAAATAAGGCGGATAAGGAAAATAAAAATAGTTATGCACAAAATACAGAAGAGTGATAATCATGTAAATAAATACACATTTTCATTACATTTTATAGATTAGAATACATTATAATTGAAATTACAGTGTTCTAGTGTAGTGGTGAAAATGAAATATATCAAACTATTTCTTTAAACTGTGTCTGTAGATTTGTGTGGATTTGATGAAAGTATGACGGAAGGCCTAAATTATTCACCATTCTTACCTCTTTCACCAAGTAAGACACGAGCAGCACTGCCCACACATCAGTCAGACTGAAGTTGTCATGTTCCAAGTATTTCTTCAGTTTGTAATACTTGTCAAGCCAGTTGACTTTGCCGTTAGCAAGCCTTTGGACAATGTTATTTTTCACAGTGTCCAGTTTGGTGGACCAGTCTGCTTCTTTATATAATGACGTCATGCACCTTCAGAGAACAGATGGACAAGGCAGTATTTTAGTATAACAACATTCCACCACACGGTACTATCAAGTGCATGTGTCTCACTGAAATGCAATGATTACAGCGAAAAGAGTGAAATGCAATGTGCACAAGAGAATGTGATTAAACAGTGACTTGCGAAAAAAGAGTCAAAATGAAAAGTAAAAGATCCATTACATTGATGTAACATTTACAGTACAGCACAGTGGTTTCATTTTTTAAGATGATGGTTAAGAACATACTGTTTCCTCCATTCTCCTGCACCACTCAACACTGACACATTCAGATAGCACCAGCAACAAGTGTTGCCAGATTGGGCAGAATCCCTTCTGTGAAAATAGCTGTTTTATATTTAACATCACTGTACATGAAATAACAATTATAGTAATAATAAAAAGAAAATTATTTAAATTTGAAAAGTGAAACATGTCTTAAGCGTTTCTTATTCTTAAACAATATTTGAATATTTGAGAGAACATTCAACAGAGCATTCAAAAGTGAAAATATTCAATAGATGCAGCCCTAATCATGAATACAGGAAGTAGTAATTTTATCAGTGGGGAACTAAGGGCCTTTAGGCCTTCATAGAATTTCTAGGAACTAAAAATGTGTGTCTGTAATTTTAGTTAATTTTTATTGAATAGATTCATGCTTGCATTTGAACTCTGCAAGTATTACGGTACCACTCCTGTTTCATTGTTAAAGGGGAACTCCACCAGTTTTTCAAAACTTATACATAATTAAATGGTTAAAATGCAAACAAAGTCATTCAGAGTGGTTTGATGTGAAGTGCTCCATAATAGAGAAACTTACTGAGTCAGAATTGTTCACAGTGGAGGTGACAGAAAGCAGATGTCTGAAGAGTTTAAAAGCTTCCTCAAAGAAAGTTATTACACTTGCTTTATGGTAGTTTTATGATAAAAATTTTGGCCTAAAACATCTTGTCAATCTATTTATTTTAATCCATTCATGGCAAAGTAATACATGTAGGGCACTGAGAGGTGAAGTCTATACGTTTCTCTACAATGAACCATCTCACATCAAACCACTATGAATACCTTTGTTTACATCTCAATGACAGGATTATGCAAAATGTTTGGATTGTTAGAAATGGAAAACAGTGGCAAGAGCTGTAAAACTGCAAAATGCCATTAGCTTAATGGTAACAAACTATTAGGAACACATAGGGGTACTAGCAGAAGTTATCATTATTATAAAGATGTTTTTTTCCTCATGTTTTTGGCTCAGTTTTGACATTTAAGGCCTGACACGAATGTCTAGCTGTAATAGTCACAGTTCACCTCTAGATTTTATATACGTCAGTGTGTTTGTTTAACCCTTTCCAAACCTCTCCTCATAGCAGTATTATTTGTAATGATCATCCAATATCTGGCTAATCAATCCTTGATTAAGTTAAATCGAGTGTGCTTCTGTTGAAATTGAACAAGTCTGAAACCAAATTTGACTTTAAATCCAAAAATATTAACAATCTTTTTGAAAACAACAACCTTTTGTTTCTCTTTACTGTATTTATGTTTATGTATTAATTCTTCAGACATGTTTGTTTTGAATGAAGATTGTCTTGTTTGCTTGAGATTTAAGTATGTGTCATGTTCAGAATGTAAGATACTTTTTTTATACACATATGTATTTATTTTTCTACTGACCTCATAACTAGACTTCATAATATTCTTCATTTATAAGTGTGTGTGTGTGTGTGTGTGTGGGTGGGTGTGTGTGTGTGTGTGTGTGTGTGTGTGTGTGTGTGTGTGTGTGCAAAACAAACAAATTGACTTAGCCTAAAAGAATGATTTGTTCTGTGTCAGTACCAGGTAGATCCTGAAACTCCACTCAGGTACATGATGCAGTCCAGCAGTTCCTGGTCTTTCAGCTCACTTAGTGATCCCAGCAGAGCAACCATAGCTCTCAAACCACCACCAGAGCCCAGCACTGCAATGTTAGGCACCTCATCCTGCATCATTGAAACACAAACCCTAAACATTTTAAAGGTGAATTCCACTGATTTTTCTGAAGTTCTACATAATTCACTCTTTGGAGTGTAAAAAAGCCATTCAGAGTGCTCTGATATGAAATTCTTTATTCAAGAGAAACTTACTACTTCTTGTTATGTCCTGTGTTGTTTTTTCACCTAGACCTGTGTATTTTGTGTGTGCCTAATCCAGATTCCATCCTGTGGCGTCATTTCTTCCACTCCAGGATCCTGCTACCCTCTACCCCGCAGTTTTGTATCCATCCCTCCTAATTCTAATGAAGTAAGTTTCTCTAAAACAGAGCATTTCACATCAAACCACTTTGACTGACTTTGTCTACAATTTAACAATTATGCAGAAATTTTAATAAAACAGTGGAATTCATCTTTAAACAAGCTTATTTGACAGCAGTTTCACTGCTTTAAAACATAAAGTACACTTTTAAAAGTGATGGTTCTTCAAGGGTTCTTCAGTAAAGAAAATGGTTCTATATAGAGCCATAAACACTCAAAAAACCCTTTGCATGATTAAAGTTTTCTTTGCATTGTGAAAGTGTTCTTCAGATTGAAGAAAAGATTGAAGAAAGTTGAGCATTATAAGCTTTTGCTATGACATGAACGCACATGCGCAGAATGTATTTAAACTTTTCCATTGTGAATGTAATCAGATACAGGCATTCACATAGTTATTATTCTTCTATTTGACAGATTATTTACATGATTGCCCACCTCGTTCAATCGGATAGAAATTGTATTCCGAATGGCCTCAATCTGACTGGTCTCTGGTGTACACATGGACGCATTCTATTCCGATTAAGCTATTTGTCAGATTATTAACAGATTATCAGGCTACATGTAAACGTGGCTACTGTTTTGCTGGATTATCCATCACTTGTTGTGGATTTCCTCTTTTAAGCAAACAGACAGGACAGACAGCAAACAGTTGCTAAGTGCTGAGTGTGACATACAGGCTTGTAAGCAAGTCTACCAGTGTAGCAAAACCCATAATAGCATAGCACATCGTAGTGTAGTACGATATAGCAAATAGAAGATTTATATCTTATTTACCAAACTGCAGTGTATGTTGTGCTTCTGTAGGCATTGTAGAACAGTCTTTCTTCTTCTGATCACATGCTGCCTCTCTGCTTCATTCAGAGAGTGACCAATTCTCACCTTACTACTACACACATCACACAGGAAAAGGTAAAACAATCAATGCCTTTCATTCATCCGTAATATCTGCATGTGCCAGGGCTTGAGTCTAACTATGGACAGGTGGACAGATAATTACACAAATATTTGCATCACAACAAAAACTGGAAAAAAGTGAAATTACCCAGCAGCTACCTCAAGAGTTACACTTGATAATTCTTCATAACTAGTTTGTCTCCAAAATTCACAAACTGAAACAATTACATAAAGGGTCGCAAATTAAAGATTAATCATTTAATAATTAGAAGTTGTTCCTTTAGGCTGCTCTCGCTACAGTCTATACAGGTTATACATGAGTCTGTTGATTAGAAAACTGGCCAGACTGCACTGTACACTGTATAAGGGAACCTAATGGGAGAAAAGGCTAACATAGCTTTAGCACACATTTATTCCATGGATGGAATCTAGCCTAAAACTAATGTAGACATTCAGCTGTAAAGAGTAATTAGCATAATAAATTATTATAGTTGACTAATTTTTGCCACTTAACTCATCATCACATAGCCTGCTTCATAGTGTAGTGCACATTCACTCACCTGTTTGCTCAGCAAAATTAACTATCATAGCAAGTTATGCTAATTACTTAAAGCAGATGTACCTGACTCCTGCAAATGACTGGGAACAACCAATTTAAACAGGCTAGGTAAAAAAACTTTTTTTCTAGTGACTACTTTACTGATGATGGCTGACGGTCTCACTTTCCCTAGCTGGGGTGGCCAGAGGGGTGGCTATACTTCATGGTCAGGTAGAACTGGCCATCCCTGGCCACCCCTTGGCTTTGCCTCTGTTGGTGCCATTTATTATCCGATAATTAATGTACAGATTGATCTTTGAGGGGACATAAACACTAGTAGAGAAATGAAGATATCAATAACTTGTCAAAACAAGATCATGAGTTTGTATGATAATTAGTAGTAAAAATGAGAACTTTACACAAAATAGTTATTAATTAAAACAATCAACCAGTAGCTTAATTAACAGATAATTAACAGGACTAAAGGCCATTTCACACCAGATGTGGTAACCATGCCACACAATGTGCACAATATGATCCTATATTAATCAGTGTAGTCTTCTGCACCGGCCTTGCGCATCACACAGTAATGTGTGTGAAGTACAAAAATGCATTTTGAGTCTATATTTGATGCACGCTGCGCACAGCATGCTAGTAGTTTCTAGGCAGAAACAGTAAATAAATGCAGTGTTTATGCTGTAATATACAATTGAGGCTAATACACAACTGAACAAAAAGAGCTGTAAATCTTTGACAGGGTGACAGAAATCCCTTTTGTAGGTTTTTATTGTTGATCTTTTTATATGATCTACATAAAGATTTTTTAAGCATTAAACAGAAACACATGTGTCATGTTCAGTGTGAAATCACAAGCATCATGGAGTGGTTCCAGATTACCACATGCGCATGTCACATCTGATGTGAAATGGGCTGAAATTATAAGTACTAGTTAGTTCCTATGTTATTTTTTATGAGTAAACACGTATCAGTTCATTAACGATATAATTAGCAGCAGTTAGTACACAGTCTATGAGTAATTAAGCTATGAACTAATAACAGACTAAACTACTAATTACTAAGTACTTAAGAATAGCTAAGTAATAACTAATGCTTAATAGGCTGTTAACTAATACATAACTTGAGTATAAAATTACTTATTAGCATAACATTTTCAACTAATTTGTGATCCTTAATGTAAATTGTAACCAAATAATTGTAAAAGTGGGCACAAATACCTTTCACAGCTTCTGATCTGGTCCATCTGTAAAAAAAATGGTATGAAAGGAGCAAATGTGAGAAGCATGTGATGAAAAAAACACTTGGCAATCCAGTCATTAATTAATATTGTTGGCATCCTTTTTTTTGGCATCAACACAAAAACCTGCATATAACTTAATTTATACAAAACATCTAAAAAAGACTAATGGTAGAATAAAAACAGCAATTATTACTGAAATGATAATTTGAATAAATAAGTTTTCAGCTGATTTTTAAAACTAATAAAAGAAAGTACCTGATCAGTATTAACAAGCAAAGAGTTCCAAATCTTGTGTGAATTACAGCCAAAGGTTGCTTCAGTGTTTTTGTGCTTCTGTTGAATGTACAGCATCTAACAGTTTTGTTCTGATTGGAATGTTTTTTGCTAGTTTTTAAAAGCTGTTAATGGGTAGCACCCCCATCTTTTTCAAAATGCTTGACAGATTGTGTTCCAGTGGGAGTGAAACTGTTAAAAGCTGTCTTTATGAATATTCAAAGGAAGAACAAAAACACTGAAGCAACTATCTGCTATTATTTTCACAAAACTTGCAACTCTTTGTTTGTTAATATTGATCAGGTACTTTCTGTTACTAGTTTCAAAAATCAACTGAATACTTATTTATTCAAATTAGCATTCAATTAGTACTTACAGTTTTTTTAGTTTTGTTTTTTAATTTTGTGTATAAGCCTGTATTTTTCATACTTTATTAATTCTTCTGTTTTTTTGTTTTAATTCTTCTTCAGTTTTTATTGAACAGACTACTTGTTCTTTTATTTATTTTTTTATTATTTAGTCATGCATATTTTTTGCTATCTGTAACATTTTGCTGTTTTATTTTCATTTAATCAGCATATTGAGAAACTTTTTTTGCATATGACAGTACGTATATGAATGAAGTTACTTGCAAATTAAGTAAATATATAAACTGTACTGAACACTTTCATACAGTAGAAATTTTCCAGTAATTACTGTATGTAGCTAATAGGTATTTATAAGAGGGCTACTGGTAGAAAGTAGCTAATGGAAAGTACATACATACCTTCACATTCAGATGCTAAAGTCCACATAAAACCTCTGAGAAAACCTTGAAGAATAAATAGAAGGGTTGTGTTTGTGAGCATGTGACGTAGTAGAAAGCGGATCTTTGAAGTTAAAAAAGTTATGATGGTTCTCCATGTAAACGAAATACCACTTAGTTATCTTAGATTTAGATGTGTGTTTGTGTGTGCAGAGTGTTGTATGGGCATGCCGAGTCCTGCTTTATTTGCATGCCAAACCGATATATAGACTTCAAGATATATTCAGGTTTATCTGGAAGCTGAGAAACAGGTAAGTAATACCACAGAAACACAAGCTGTGAAAGTGTTGAAATTACTTTTATCCAGGCATGATCCAGGCATAAAAAATCCAAACATAATGTTTGTTGATGCTACCCATAAAACAAACAAGTAAGGTATGTAAGGTTCTTCATTGCTTTGGATTAAAGAAGAAACAGGGCTTAGAAGAGGATGTTGCATTTGCCTTCATTTAAGAAGAAGCTGCACAGTCTCAAATGTGTGCCCTGTTCAAAGAGAGAAACGCCAACTGGTAAATTATGAAAATCTTTATGGTGACCAAAGATATACAATGTGTCCAAAAGTATGTGCACACCTGCTCATCCAATGTTCCTTTGAAATGAATGGTATCAATAGAGAATTGTCCACTTTTTTGCTGCAGTAACAGCCTCTGCTCTTCTCTTCTGAGAAAGCTTTACATTAGATGTTGGAACATTGCTGTGAGGATTTGATTGCATTCAGCCCGAAGAGCATTATTGAGGTCAGGTACAGCAGAATGCTCAGAAAAAAAAAAATGAAGTCAATTGCAAAGTTATTACTAAATTGCATTATTTGAATCTGGTTTTAAAGTGTGCACGAGAGATATATTTAAGATGTACAAGATATACTTGTTTAAAATATAACTTGTAGCTTCAAATGACACTTCATGGGTTAACTCAGAATCCCTACATATCATACTTATATTGAAGTTTCATGATGATTTGTGATTTTTCTTGATGAATGTTAAAAGCCTGTTAAATACCTACAGGAATTTATTTAGCTGATGGAAACAATTTTTAAATAATCAGGTCATCACTATATTTCATAGCTCAAAGATGGATTTTGTAAAATATCAGCTTGACTGGACATACTGATGTGGAGAAACAGCTACCTAGTGTATTTAGCACTCCTATTGACATAAATGCAACAAAATGGACAGGTTACCTCAAAATCTTTGGAGGGGCAAGTCTATCAAGTTTCACTGAAATCAAAAACGTTTTAGAAAGTTCCAGCAGTTTAGGTCAATGATAATCTGATAAAGAAGGACTGACACAAAAGTTCGTTTCTCAAAAAAAATGGAAAATATCTTTCTTTTCTAGAGGTGAGTGCTTTAGTTTTTGTGTTTTTTTTTTTAGCTTTGATCAATTTTTGTTTGGTATGAGTCAGAGAATCAGCAGAACCCTGAATGAGTATTGAGACGGAGTACCACCTATTGTTTCATGTCTGTACATCTTACGATTTGGTCACCCAAAAGAAGAGAAAAGTGAACAGCAAAATAAATAAGGCATCTTCAAAATTTAGGCCTCTAGTAATAAGGCTAACATAACATCATTATACAGGGTAATGTAGCCTACGCTGGAAAACAGTAATGTATTGACTTCGCTTGATTCAAAATTTCCACATAAAAAACATTTCGTCAACACAGTGTTGTCTTTCAGTTTATTTACTGTTATCAATAAATGTGTTGATGTAATATTTTATTAATTTCTTTAATTTGGAAATGGTGACACACTAGCTTAGCGAGTTTTAAAATATTCTTTTAAAGCTCTCTATAACCGAAAAGAGATATCACTCTGGTGTGTATTGTGGTCTCAGCCCTCAGCAGAGGCCAACATGAACATTACCTCTCATCAGCTCAAACCAACAATGAGCGCAATTATCAGTGCAACAGTGAGAGGTTGTAAGTGTTTTTAAAACCTAAATATGCTTTTTTTACATTAAAATAGGTGGGTAGAGCAGCGTAAACCAATACACAAGTTAAAGTATTAACCTTTTGGTAAAATAATGACACAAGTAAAGGTACTTTCCCAAAAAACAACTTGAGTAGAAGTACAAAAGCATCAGGTCAAAAACTATTGAAGTTCCGAGCAACTTATTGAACT